AAGCTACCTGACCCACAAGGAGAGGTACTGTCTCCACCAGGGGAGTGCAGACAATATATACACAGCATATACTGCCCATATATCTTTTCTCTTTCCTATGAGGATCATATGACTAAATGAGAAATTCCTTTTGGGGGGGGTTCCTATACTCTAAGATGGCTAGCTGCTGCTGCTTCCACAGCATGAGTTCCATTTTTAAATATCACCTCAACACTCTTTTCTTTTCCAAAATGTCTTCATCTGTCCTTTGACAGAGAAAAAACAAAAAACAAAAAGCTTTTTTTTTCTTATTGATTCTGTCAAGCACTGTAAAGTCCAAACACGCTTAACACAGGAGTGAAAAAGAGTCACCCGACAACTAAACTAGCACCTGGTGGGAAGGCAAGGCAGAGGACAAAGGCCTGTCCGGAAAGGGCAAAGAGGCAGGAGACGCCCTTTACAGTTCCTACAAACAAATGCCGAGAGATACAAACCTGCATGAAGGAATTTCTCTGGACCTCGAGTAGAAAGGTTGTGAGAAATGAATGCCTCGGCCATAACCCTGAGATACCTAGGAGGCTGGTGGAAGAAGAGCGTTGAGAGGTTCAAGTATCCCAAAGGGGGATCAAGTGAAGTGCGGACACTTGTGTCGGCTTCGGTTCTGTTCCGCAGCACAGCCCAGGCCAAACGGGGCAGCGAGCCCAGGGCACCAGCTGATGCCCAGCTTCTCTGGAGCCTTGAAGATGAGGTTCACAACCACCCTGGGGCCTATGTTGTGTTCTTCGGGCGTTAAAAAAATCTGATGGAGAAAAACTGCACTAAATATACGTAGGCAGAAGACTGAGCTCTCAGCTATATGGCTTTTACTAACTCACTCCTCATTCTTTGGGTCTATGCATGGGGTTTGCTAGAAATTCTACAAACCAATGATTTTAAACAGCAAAAATGTTTCTCAGATCTTTCTCATTCATTTAGAAGAGATTTGCTGGGAACCTAATGTGTATCTGTGGCTAGGCACTGGGGACACAAAGAGGGTGACGACCGAGTTTCTGATCTCAAGGGTCCTAGGGTCAGAGACAAAAGATGCCTACCATGCAGGATGACAAGTGCTCCCACAGAGGAAAGCACAGGATGCTAGAGCCTAACCCTCAGCATCTGACAGCGGGTGGCTGGGTGTGAGGACTGGGCTGGGGAAGTGACTTAGGGGGAGAGGATTCTTAAATAAATTTAGCTTAATCATCAAGTGTTGAGGAGGACAGGGAGCAACTGGAATGCTCATACCTTGCTACGGAGAGGATCTAAAATGATACAATCACTTTGGCAAACAGCTTGGTAGTGTCTAATATTGAACTTACATTTCCAATATGACCTAGTCATTCCACTGCTAGGTATTTACCCTAGAGAAATGAAAATACATGTTTCTCTAAAGACTTTTAAGCAGCTTTATTAACAAATAGCAAGACACTGGAAACAACCCAAATGTTCACCTATGATAGGCGAATAATAAAAAAACAGACGTACCGGGATGCAAAAATATAATGGAATACTACAAACTCGAACAAGAACCAGACTACTGATAGACGCAAAATGAGAAAATCTCAAAAACAATCTGTTGAGTGACACAGGCTAAACAAAACACGAACTAAATGAATTCAAATTTAAAAACTGGTACTTGATTCAGTCATTAGGAAACATTTAAGTCTGTTTGGAGAAACTCAGGTATGGGAATCTACTCTTTCAGCTGCAAACTGTATGAAATCTAAACACAAAGCAAGTACTTTATGAGAATTTAGTGCTGAGCTGAGACGTAAATACGCACTAGACTGCAAGGACCAAGGATGAAAAAAAGTAGCTCAAGAATGCTTTTTATCGATTATCTGTCGAAATGATTTTTAATGTATTAGGTTAAATAAAATACATTATTAAAATTAATTGTTTCTTTTAACCTTTTTACCATGCTACTACAAAATATAAACCAATATATCTGGCTTGCATTCTATTTCTATTGGACAGGGCCATTTTATATTTTCTTTGCGTTGAAAACAAAGATGCATTCAGCTGTCAAAATTAAAACTGTACGCTTAAAATGGGTGTGTCTAATTGTAAATAAATTATGCTTCAATAAAGTTAAAAAATATTAAATTGGGTACTATATACCTTTGCATGGGTGTGTAATATGTGTGTGTGCATAAATGACTATCTTGCTGATGACCTTTCCTTACCAAAAATTAGAAACGTAAAGAAACAAATTCACAGACACACAAACTAGTAAGAGGAACAGTTCATTTAACGCATTCAATTATACTACAATTATTTAGTGTCAGCCTGCCATTCTAGCAATGGCTGCCTATGTATACTTAGTGCTTTTTTCCTCCAAATCCTGTCTTGTTCCTCTGTGTCAGCCTAGTACTTAACACAGTAAGTTAACACAGTACTTTGCCGGTATTTTAACAGCTACAGAATTGTCCCAGACACTTTACATATAGTGTAATTTCCACAAAATTCCTGAAAATTTGGCATTGTTATTCCCATTTTTCAGATGAAAAACTGAGGTCAGAGGTCAAAAGGGTTAGAAAAACTCACCAAATATCCAGAACTAGTAAGTGAAAGAGCAATGTTCCAAGTCTACATGGACCTCAACTCCAAAGCCCGGTCTTCTATGCGGTCCCACACTGCCACCTTTCCAGGTGGACATTTCATGACCGCTGAATGCCTGAATCACAGTAAAGAGGGGCAACAGAAACACAGACATCTTCCTGAACGTCTAGAGTTATAACCTCCAAGTCCTGAACGGGCTTCTCTCTAGATGGAGAGCACCCTGGCAGCTCCTGCTAGGAGATCAGGATGAATCTAGTAGGGAAAAAAATTCCCTCCCAATTACACTGTCCATTTGGGAGTCTGAAGAAGAAAAAGAACACAGAACAAAGAACATGGGAAAGAGAAAAAAAAAAGGAATGCTGAATCTGCTAAAAAATAAAAAAAGCTAGTTAATGCAAGAGAATTAATCTAAAAGTAACTTCAGCATTCAAAAATGAGAAGTTGGGAGATCCTACAGAGGTACAGTTTCTAAGGCTCTGGGAGCACCTTCTTAATTAGGCTCCCAGAATCTCAGCATTCCTGTTTGAATAATCCATATTTCTGGTTATTTATTCAGCTCCCCACTGCTGCACATTACCAAGCCATATGCTACAGGAATACATCACTTCATATTTGCGCTCAACCATCCAAAGACGCTGGCAGTTCAGACCTTTAAGAAGCTTAGGGAAAAGTCCCTGTAGAGTACAGTTTTAAGGTTAGAAGGCTCAGGAAGCCAAATGCATTTTCTTTATATGCTATTTACTCGAGAGAAGGTGGGTCATTTCAACAAAAGGACAGGCAATTAGAAGGGTAAAGGAGATAAACAAACAAAAGACTCAAGAGAGTAAAGCTAGCAAAAATCAGCTGAACACTAAAGGCTTCCGAACAATTCCAATGGCCCTCTCTGCACTTTAAAATAGATTTTTTAAAGCAATCCCACACAGGAAGATTTCCAATCAATCCAAGGTCTGGTACACACCAGACACACAAAAAGGTCTACTGTGCCCCCACCCAGCCTTATGCAGGCCTTTACAGAGGAGATATTTTAGAAACATATCTGGTGATAATCTTACATACAAAATAGTTTTAAGCAAAAGCATGGTCATCATTGAATCTGTTACAATATCAAAACAATGGAAATAGTCTCAATATCACCGAAAGAATGCTAAGAAAGCTCTATCTCCTTAGAGTCTGTGATGCAGTTGTTGCAAATTCTCACAAACATCACGTCTCAGCACGGGAAATGCCATGTTTCAAAAGTTTAAAAAGAAAGAGTATAGAAAATTACCTGTGTGACAGGACTAAAAAACTGGTAAAAACAAAATAATTACAGAAAAAAAAGCGTGAAAGAAGCGAAACATCCAAAGCTGGGTCATGTTTGGGTGGCAGACCTACTTTTTCAGCTTCTTGGAGGCAGGAACCTGTCTTCCTCGTTTGGGTGAGCGCAGCCCTTAACAAAGTGTCTTTTAGCAGCAGCTCCACATGTCTATATTCTAAATTCTATTCAATAGATACATATATCAAATTTATATAAAAAAGACTTTTTAAAGAAACAGCTTCACAGAGTTTTCAATATACATGAATAGAAGTGTCAAGGCTGCCGACTCTAGGTCAGTTTCACAGAGTAATAATGATTCAGGTCTTCCAGCCACACAGACATGCTCTAGTGGCTCTCAGTTTGAAAAACAGTCCCTTGACCACACACCAGCCCTGTGTCTGGCTACCCACTACTCCCATTTCTCTACTACCTTTCCCAGACAGATTTCTCAAGAGTTAGTGATACAAGTTACCATCCATTACTTCCACCATGAGGAATCTGTGAAATATACTAACCATGATGTCCGCTTTAAATACTTTAAGGAATTAGAGCATAAATAAGAGGAAGATATATAAGGAACGTACTGTAAAGGAAAGCTCTAGAACTGTCCTGCACGTTTTCATCTCCTATGCTAGCCACACAGCACATGTGCGACTCATAGAAAATAATATATAATGAAAAATGTGTGTAAGTAAAAAATATGGTATTTCTGTCCACCACAAAAATACCAACATATGGCACAGACAGGTCTATGAGGGATATAAGGAAAACGGGGCTAAGTTTAGAAGTTAACATAGGGTATGTTTGGAAGGTCACAACGAGGCTTCCCAAAACCAACACAGTTTTAAAAGAAGGAACAAAACGACATGTCCCTTCAATGGAGTGGTTATATTACCAACTGACACGACCACAGGGCACAAATAGACCAAAATGTACTTTGTATTCATCCCCTCTAACTTGAGAGCAGCCAGCACGCAGGCGCGCACACCCTCCTGAAGGCCTTACCGTTTTACATTATCTAGCAAACTCAATGGACTAAAAGACCATATAGGTACGGGTTCTGGAATTCAGACAACAGCGAGGAGCTGGACAAAAAAGATGGAGCGCTAGGAGATAAGACACGTACCTGAGCATGAGATTCATCAGCTGAAGCCCCTCGCCCTTCAGGAAGCGCTCGCGATTGGAACTGAGCATTAGGCAGGAACAGAGTGAATCAAACAGATTCTCCATCATCTCCTGCTCCTCGGCTGTGCTAGGGTTGTGTCTTTTAAACACCTGTCAAGCAAAGACATCAGAAAGCACAGAGCCGTAAGAGAATGTACTCCCGTCTGCCAGCGCTCGGCAATCCCCAAGCCTTCCTGTCACGGTAACCCCAACAACTGAGGGAACGCAAGCTCGCTGGACAGAATTCGCATCGGTTTCCATTTTAGAGAAACTGAACTTTCTGATTCATGGGTATTAAATAGCTACCAGTTCATACAAAAAAAAACCAAAACACTCAACTGACCACTGGGTCCATGGGTGATTGATAGTTCGAAGGAGCCAGATTAAACACATACACACACACAACACAACACAACACAACAACAAAACCCTTTTACTGTGAAACGGAACGCAGATATTTTTTTAAAAATGCCATAAAAGACAAGTATGTCTGAAACCAGCATCCAGGTCAAGAAATAACTTTGGCAGCTACCTCCAAAGTCCTCCCCCAACCCACCCACACCCCACTGCACACCTTCTGAAAGAAACTACAATACGGAAGGGCCAGAGCCTGAGGAAGTTTCTGGAGCCCTCTGTCGGGGCTACTGAAGGGCCTCACATGGCAGCTGTGGCGCTAAGGCATGGGGAACAGCTTAAAGCAGAGTACTGTCTCTGCCAGAGACGTACGGCATGTTAAGAGGAAAGTCTTTTTAACGGTACGTGCATACCCATAGAGTCTACTACAAAATGATCAACAATCTCGCAGGAACAGGACTAAGCACCTTCCCAGAAAACTGGAAACAGATTCGCATTTCAAAGCTCTATTTTTTGGGGTGGAGGCCAAGCCACTCCGGCTGCTGGCACCACGACGGCAGCTGTATGCAAACTGACATCTCAGACATTCCCAACACTCCAGATTTTATCCAAATGATCTATTTTCAGTCCTGGTTTTGGAACAGTGCAGATGAGATCTGTGAGAAGAAATCCTCACAGTGTTTCCAGAATGCCAGCAGGACAACAACGTTTCAACTAGATTTACGTTTCTTTCCAGGAGGAAATGGCATTTCCTAATGTCTTATTCCAGTTTCTGGTACCCTCCCTACCCTCCTCCATGACCCCCCAACCCCCTGTGACCTCTGTCCCACTGCACTGGAACTGGTCCTCCTTGAGCTTTTCTGGATTCCAAATGGACAGAATGCACTTTACTGGCAGACTGAAAGGAAAGGAAGTAAATAATCTTGGGAGTGGGCCAACTCAAAATAATTCGGTATTCTCGGCCCAAGAATGTACACTTAAGCAGGAAGCATGCTTCTTGTGGACTGACAAATGCCAGAGGACGGCAGGCGGGGTTGGTGGGGAGACCCACAGCAGATACATCGTGATATCTGGTCAGAAAGAGCAAATGACTAAGAAAAGGAGGCAAACGATGCAGCTCCGAGGTAACCTCAAACCTGCCGACGTACTCCGTACGGCTTGCATCACATGGCTTGTTTCTTCCCACAATTTCCAGCTCCACCTCCCATTTAAAGCAGGCCATGTATCTTCATGGCAGACAGGAAGCATAAGAATTACTCACGGATAACTGCTGAAGAAGCACATCGATTCCATCTAGCTCCCCAAGCAATTCCCTGTTTTCTAAAAGGGGAAAAAAATAGAAGGAGAAAAAAAATGAAGCTAACTGTCAGATTTTACAGCCGTCTAACACTGATACATCAGCAAACAAAATCAATACAGCTTGACAGAGTACAAAAGCTGCACAGAGAGCGAGAGGGAGAGCAAGGGGGATGCCAAAGGCAAGAGAGCTTGCTGTCATGATCTGAAACAAGCCTGGCTCCTATCCTAACAGAATATCAATACCGAGAGGGAGCCTCACCATCGTTGTCCTGGAGCAATATGGCCAGCACTTCACTACAATACAGTTTGTTGGCATCGAAAGGCATCTTTGCCTGTGGAGAAATAGGAGAAATGAGAAGAAACTTTAAGGGGCCTTGCTCCCTTCCCCAGGATGAACTGTTCACAAGAGCTAGGATCTAAGATCTAAGTTCGAGAGAAGTCGAACTTAGAAAGCCAAAAGACAGGTTAAAGGTAAAAAAAAAAAAAAAAAAAGTCTGCCTCGGCTCTCAAGAGATCAGACTCACACAATACACAGCACAACCATAAATGGCAGATGTACACAATGGCTCTCACATTGCTAATGCCCAGGTATGAAAGTCACCTCCTCAGTGAAGCCTTCCCAGATTCCAGGTTCCCCATTTTGAGTCCAGGGCGACTGTCTACCACACAGTATATACTCAAACGTGAACTAGGTGAATGGTTAAAAGTTTTAAAATCCATTATGAAGCTTTGTTCACATATTACAATCATGAAATTAGGCTATCAATTAGCCAACAGATGATCAGAGAAGGTGAAAAGAAAGCAAGTTCTTATTTAGCTTAGTTGAATGTATTTATAACAAAGTAGTTCCTTTTGGATTTTTTTTAATGCTTAAAATTTAATTTGAAACCATAAACCTATCTGCTCGTGTGCCATAATCTGCCTACTATTTAAAAAGGAAACCACATTAAAAATGCAGAAATGTGTTAATATTTTAACACCCAAATTACTACCCACAATTCCTTCCCCGCTGCACAGTCTGGTACTTGGTGTTTCAGGGGGGACATATCTGCAGCAGAGACCATCTTTTACGACCGTCCACAGTGTGGCTTCGCTGGCGAAGCTCCAATAGCTCACCATTAACAAGGTACCTCTGGATAAAGGTGCACAGAGAAGAGCAGACCTCATTGACGTGCTTTTATTTACCGTATCCTTGATCCTTAAAATGCAGGCACAGCGACAACAACTGTTAATCAGCAGCAGCCTTGCTACCTGCCCAGGTCTGTGAAATGACAAATAATTTCTGTACCTGGAAAGGACAGGGGAAGTGTTCATCTCGGAGCTAACACTTCCATCACCTTAGTGCTATTCGTGGTACTGTTTGGACATTGATTTTGTACTCAAGGAGGAAGAGTGGCCCCTAATGAAGCAACACCCAGCAACTTTTCAGTTTTCTATGCACGTCTTCCTTGTCAGGCCTAAGTGCACCCCACAGGGTTTCAGGAAGCTGAGCATCCTAGGTTAAAAGATCTGTAAATGCAAAGTCTTACGTGTACTGACTGCTAGGTATGCTCCCTGGGCACGCTTGAGGCTTTCTTTCAAGAAACTCAGTATAACAGCCAGAGTTTAAATGCAATCTGAGGTGTGTTCCACTTTAAGGAAAGCAGTTTTATAAAGACCAAAACACAAAAGTGAAAGGCCAAGCGGTGAGCATCTCTACCAGAATCAAGGACTTGCTAATAAGATTACTTGCTCAAATTATTTAAATGACAAGTATTGGTATTTGAAATGATTTACAGCCACAGTATCTTCGTTATTTGTACCTATTCAAGGGCCAGGGCTCTTGTCTGAAACAAGATACACTTAACTAAAAAGAAGCCAAAAGACATCAGACCACTAGGATCATAGCCTTTCTGTGGTTTCAATGCCTCTTGTCCCCTATTTGATTTTATAAATCCTGTCTCCACGATAAGGGGGAGATATCCTCTGGTCTTCAATGAATATTGCTTGGGCACCTGCGATACACAAGACCAAAGGACCAAATGTGAAAGCACACAGGTGAATTAGATGTGAACCACGTCCACTGTTAGGGCATTTAAAGATGTTACACTGAATGAAAATTAATTTAAGTAATATAGTCACGTTTTAAAAGAAGCAGCAGAACATGAACCTAGGATCGACACACCTCAGTTTGACTCATGAGCGTGTATGACCTATGTGACAAATCTGCAGTTCCCAAACTGCGTGTCCAGGTAGCTGGGGGGTCAAACTGAATTCACAGGGGCACCGTAGGATTCTTTACAATTTCCAAAGAAAGCACGGTGACACGGGGCATCTGCTGAACACTGCACTAACTACTAGCTCCAGGTACACTCTTTCGATGGCCTCCTAGCTTTGCGAAGCTGGGTTGCGGTGGCTGCTGTAATAAAAGAACTGTATGCAAAGCAGCATGGGACAAGAATGAGGGTGGTAGTGTTCAATTGAATTCCAAGGTTTGAGAAGCTGTGCAGTTACTCCCAGGGTACACACACCGATTAGTAAGTAAGTGTGGCACTTAAGTCTAAAATAGAAACATTTTTTCTTTTTTTTAAGTGTTTATTTATTTATATTGAGAGAAGGAGGGGAGAGGCAGGGAGAAAGAGAGAGAGGGAATGCCAAGCAGGTTCCATGCTGCCAGCACAGAGAGACCAACGGGGGACTTGAACCCACAAACTGAGAGATCAGGACCTGAGTAGAAACCAACAGTCAAATACTTAACCTCCGGAGCCACCCAGGTGCCCCAAAATATTTTTTAATTCATCACTTTTTTTCTGTTAAAACCTAGGTCCTTTGAAAAACTGGCATGAAGAAGGAACTGAATCAGAACGTCAAAATGATTAGGTACCATGACTCCCCAACACTGAGCTCTAAATGCTTCCGAGTCTGAAATGGGTACCAGCTGGGAAGTAACCTGGCAAGAAGGGGAGGCTTTGGAGGCACCCAGGCCCCATGCCACAGGCGGGCAATCACTTCCCCTCTGTGCAATGCTCTTCACAACTGTAAACTGGGGGCAGCAGCACCACTTGGAAGGCTGTTTGTGAGGATAAGAAACGACATATACGACGGGCGCCTGAGTGGCTAAGTTGGTTAAGTGTCTGACTTCGGCTCAGGTCACGATCTCATAATTCGTGGGTTGGAGCCCCACGTCGGGCTCTGTGCTGACAGCTCAGAGTCTGGAGCCTGCTTTGGATTCTGTGTCTCCCTCTCTGCCCCTGCCCCACATGTGTTCTGTCTAGGTCTCTCAAAAATGAATAAATGTTAAAAAAAATTTTAAATAAAATAAAATAAATGATGTATATGAAAGATGTAGAATAATGCTTTCTACCTAATGAACAACCAACAAACAACACTCCCATCATACGGGGAAAACTGGCAATGATGGTAACAACCAAGTAGTTTAATCTTGTGGAAAAGAAATAAAGGAAAGTGTGGGAAGCTGCGGGCCAGGTGGGAAGGAGGAAATCTCATCTTTCACGTCTGTCCAAAGTCAAAAATCACCAAGGATGTTTTTATTTCTACTTAAATCTCAGCCAGAGATGATGGCCTCCAGGTTTACAAAATATCCAACTGCCGAATTACAAGGACATTCAGTCAAAATCAGGAGAAAGGAGAATGCATTTAGTAGGCGTAGTCTCCTGGAGTTTGCAACTTTAGCCACCAGGCCTTGAAGCTTCTGGGCTCTCTTCTACCCGGGAGCTTGGTGATCCTAAATCTTTCAGCTGTCAGAGTAATTACAGAGTCAAGCACAGGTTTGGACTCAGCATGTACTAGCCTCGAATAAAATTAAACTTTACCTTTTTGGGAGCTGCTGCTTTTTTTGGAAAGTACAAAACAATTATGCTACCACCCACGGCCAGAGGCTGCCAATGACGTGCACAGCTCACCTCTGATACCTGGAACGCATGGGGTGGGTTCGGTCACATCTACGGCTCCGTGCCAGTGCTGGAGTAGACTGTGCCCTGTAAAATCCCAACTCCGGGTCACAGGAGGCTAAAACCTTCCCACCAACCAGTTGTACATGTAGTGTAATGTAGCTGACTCTCAATTCATTAGCTCATATGCTGAATGTTGCAACTGCTTCTGAAACACTGATTTAATTGGGAAACCAAAGAGAATCTTAATTTTGTTTCTTTAGAAAAGAAAAAATAAAACTCTGGGGTTTTGGTGGTGTTTTCAAGAGCACACAAAATCCTAATGAGTCAGTATTCCCCATGAAAATGAACTGTAATGCAATCTCTCTCACTCCTGTTATCTGCTCACCTGCCAAACCACTTAATGCAATCATCTGCAATGGGTTTCATCCTCATTAGGGCAAATTAGTGACATTTATCTATGAGTATCTCTATGGACTGCTAACCTACCAGTACAAAAAGAAGACTCACCAAGGCGCCACTCACTGAAAATTACCCAAAGACGACTGACTCAATATGGGATGATCAGTTAAATAGCAAGGTTTAGCAAGCAATATAATCATACGTATTCCAGGATGGTGGTTCTCAGATGTTAGTGTGCATTCAAATCACCTGGAGGACTTGTGAAACCAGAGTGCCAGTCCACCCCACCATGGGCGGGTTTGGCGGGTCAAGGGGGAGGCTCAAGAACCTGTATTTCTTTTTTTTTTTTTTTTTTTTTATTTATTTCTAGGAGAGAGAGAGAGAGAGACAGCATGAGCAGGGGAGGGTCAGAGAGAGAGGGAGTCACAGACTGAAACAGGCTCCAGGCTCTGAGCTGGCAGTCAGCACAGAGCCCGACGTGGGGCTCGAACCCACGAACCGCGAGATCATGACCTAAGTGAAAGTCGGACGCTCAACCGACTAAGCCACCCAGGCGCCCCAAGAACCTGTATTTCTAACAAGTTGACAGGTGATTCTGCCATCCCTGGTCCTGGTTGGGAACCACACCTTGAGAACTGGGTGGAGAAGCAAATATGGATGAAAACACAGTCCTTGCTTTTGCTTTTTAAAGAGTTGAAGGATATTTAAAGAAAGACAGGGGCGCCTGGGTGGCTCAGTTGGTTAAGTGTCCGACTTCAGCTCAGGTCATGATCTCACAGTTTGTGGGTTCAAGCCCCGCGTCAGGCTCTGTGCGGACAGCTAGCTCAGAGCCTGGAGCCTGTCTTCAGATTCTGTATCTTCCTCTCTCTCTGACCCTCCACTGCTCATGCTGTGTCTCTTTCTCTCTCTCAGAAATAAATAAAACATTAAAAAAAAAAAAAAAAAGTCAACGAGCACACATAATATGAAAGTCTGCCAGGTGATGAAGAAAAGATGCTTCATGAGGAGAAATGTCACACAGAGGCACATGTTACAACACAGATCTGCTAACTCTCACAAGAGAACCAGTATAGAGGAAAGTAAAAAGATTGATATTCAGAAAAGAAAGTGCATGGTATGGGCTGGGGGCAAAGTAGTGCCATGGAAAGGGTGCATGGGGAAAGTCTGGACTTGTGGGCTTAATTCTAGCTCTATCTCTAACTAGCTATATGAAGTTGGGCAAGGCACTTAATCTCTCTAAGTCTCGACTTTTTTTTTTAATCTGCAATAGAAGTTATACATTTCCTTTCAGATCTAAAAATGATGGCAGCTACCTGGAAGAGTAGGGATTTACACTGGTTACAGAAGACCACGTATAGGGGCGCCTGGGTGGCTTAGTCGGTTAAGCGTCCGACTTTCGCTTAGGTCATGATCTCGCGGTTCGTGGGTTCGAGCCCCGCGTCGGGCTCTGTGCTGACTGCCTGCTCTGAGCCTGGAGCCTGTTTCAGTCTGTGACTCCCTCTCTCTCTGACCCTCCCCTGCTCACGCTGTCTCTCTCTCTCTCCTAGAAATAAAAATTTAAAAAAAAAAAAAAAAAAAAAAGAAGACCACGTATAGCTGAGAAGTATATAAGACAGGAGTCATTCCTGGTGGAGGGAGGAGCATGAACAAAGACAGACACAGGTCAAAATAATTCTGACCTTTGCAGAGTAGGGGCAAGTTAAAAAAAAAAAGTCTGTCTGAAAGGTAATAAGGCCAACATTTAAAAACTGAGAAATGAAAAGTCCAACTAGGCCTGGTATAAGGGTATTTTATTTTATTTTTATTCTTTTATGTTTATTTGTTTTTGAAAGCAAGCAGGGGAGGGGCAGAGAGAGAAGGAGACAGAGAATCATAAGCACTGACAGTGCAGAGCCTGATGTGGGGCTCGAACTCATGAACAGCGAGCTCATGACCTGAGCTGAAATCAAAAGTTGGACACTCAACCGACTGAGCCACCCAGGAGCCATAAGGGGCCTTTAAAAGTTAAGGAGAGAAGATGGGATCTGACGTAAAGGGCATCAGCACTGTGTAGAGGGAAATTCCTGATAGGCAATGGCACACTGAAAATGGAGTTTTAAATCAGTCTGGGAGTAGTACAGAATAAAAATGGGTAACGAAAATGTTCACATCTCCAGAGAGCCGTGGGAATTAGTGAGGGTTGTCCATTAGAATCATAGGTAGAACTTCTCTTAAGCAGAGACAGAGAAGACAGAGATGGAGACAAAGGAGTCTAGAAATCTCTAATTTTTTAGAGTTTCACTAGTGAAAATCAGGAACTAGGTCTAGCATTCAGATTCAATCTGTTTATGATAGTGAAAATTTTAACAAGCAGTCTCCCAGATTATGAGGAAAAAGAGCAAGGCATTGTTTTTATAAAAACAGGCCTTGCTGGCCTCACCCTTAAGCAGTATTCTCATTAACGGTCTGGGCAGCACTAGAGTTTTCTAAGGGCACTTGCTTACTAATAAAATAACCAAATAGCATTTTAATGTTTAGATACCCTGAAACCTTGAAAAACTGTTTTAGAGACAGCAACATGGCTACTTATGCCCTAAGGGTTACATAAACGCCATGCCTAAAAGCAAATAGTCAATAGCTTGCTAGACTATCAAATGGAACTCGTTATTACTCTCATACGGAAAATGGAATCTAAGCCAAAGCCCCAAAGGTCTCAATTCTCCTTCCTGTTACCAATTCAAAAAAAGACTGGCAAGTTTCAATGCCTTTCGAAGGGCAGAGAAGGTCTGACATTCTGGTTTAATGAAGGATCCCAGAAGCAGTACCAAGTCTCCAGGAACTGAAAAAAAAAAAAAAAAACTGGTCTTGACTTCAGAGACAAAAGCTATTGGATAATTTTGTAATCCAAACGTTTGGAGCTCTCATCTATGGCCACCCCACCACCAACTCGGGTCCTTGCCATCTATCCTACCTCATCAACTCCATTCTACTTTCCTCCCTCCACTCCTCACTCCCAAAACGTTTTAAGGCTTTGGAGAATAAAAACGTGTTGAATGTTGAGGAAAGAAGACATTGAGAATTACAGGGGAAACCAGTCTAGTCCGAAAATCAGAGGCATCCAGGCTCATGAGAAGAGGTCAAAAGGAAGTTAACAGAGGACAATGCATGAATTAATCAGACCTGATTTCGTCCTGAAAGGAAGGTAAGGATACGTGGGTGTGCACGGGCGCGTGACCACACGCGTGTGTGCATGTGCGTGCAGGGGGTTGCAATCTACTGAAGCACACACTGAGCTGCTACTCTGCCAGACAGATGTGCCCAGACCCACTGATGGCAGCATCTGGGCTGGGTCATGGTATAGAAGTCTGTGTCAGAGATTTCAGAGGAACAAACGGTTAAATGAGTAGGGCTGGGGAAGACTTAGATGGTCAGAAAGAGGGGTAATCGTAGGGCATATGCTATCGTAAGCAGGACATTCCTCCTGAGCCCTGCCAAGACAGTGGGGGGCAAACCTCCTGACCTGATGCACCTCAGACTTTCTGGATCTCTGTGACACACCGAAGCACGGCAAAGCCATGAACATTGAGAGAACCATTCTATCTATTCACAAACGCCTCCGTCTCACCAGAAAGCCGGGAATCCTTGCTTGGCCGAGGCAGTCCCAAACTGCCTCTCACTGCACCTTTGGTTAAAATACTCTTTTAAGGGAAGCCCTTGCCCCTCTCATTCCTCATTTACTCCATGAGACACCGGTAATTGTTAAAAAGATAGTCAAAGGGACTATGCTAATAAGGAAAGAGTAGGAAATCCAACAGAAATATAAATATGAACAAAAGACATAAATAGTAAGTGGAAAGAAATGAATATAAATGGATAATAAACAAGTGGAAGCCAGTATTCTTGCCCGGGTTTTAAAATTCCAAAATAAAATAAAATACCAGTTTTCATGGAGCAGATCAGTAAAATTTTAAGTCTGATAGTACCCCATGTTGCTAGGGGCAGCAGATGCTCTCACGGCAGTGAGGCAGCCCTCATGCAGGACAGCTTTGCAATGTCCACCAGACGTGTTGATGTACATATGCTTCCATCTATCAATTCTACTCCTAGCAATTTATCCTGCAGATGAACTAACAGAAGTGTGCAGGAAAAAGATGTGTATGTGTATATGAGAATATTCACTGCAGCACTGCTTGTAACAGTGAAAAATTGTTACACAACAGTGAAAAACTGCCATAAAAAGGGGACTGGCTAAATTAATTTTGGTATATGCATAAAACAGAATACTGGGCAGCTAATTAGTTCAGTGAAAAAAACAACCTGCAAAATAAAATACTGTAAAATTCTGTTTGTGAAACACACACACGCCTATACACACAAAATGCTTCTGGAAGGACTGAGAGAATACTGCTAACAGCAACTGCCTCTGGGAAGTGGAACTAGAAGGAAACTGCTGAAGGGGGCTTTTACCTCCAGTCTTATGCCTTCTGTGTACCAGTGAACTTATTTGTACTTATACAATGTTCATAATATTTTCAGAGGTCTTACAGGCTACTTTTAAAACCTCTTCTTTTGAAACAAAAAGAAGAGAAGGAAAGAAAGAGGCCAGGGGTCCCAAAAGATTCCCAAAGCGGATCCCACAGCAAAGGGATAAAGATCTGTGCCAGCGAGCTGGCTTGAGCCCTGTCCGGAGCGAAGGGAGGCTGGAGCTGCAGCCCCACAAGCCAAACTTACCTTCAGCCTCTTCAACAGCCACTGCAGGAGGCCCTGCTGGGCGGCCTCCGTGCACATCTCAGGCCGGAACTCTGCCATGTTTTCCACGATAGCTGCAGGCAGGCAGACAGCAGTCATTAGCGAGGGCAATTTTGTTTCCATCTGCAGCACGCTGCTCCCCTTCCCGCGACAGCCCCCAGCTACCATATTCCTCTTCCCACTTCCTGTATGCCTCCTAGCCAGATGCTGTGCTGTCATTTTTAGATTAACCAGAGAGATGCTATGGGCTTGGTTTTTTTTTTTTCCTCTTTAATTCAAGTTATGCTGCAAATATATGCATAAGTGAAAATGATGGGAATTTTGCAAAAGAAATAAGTGATGGATGCTCTTTGCTAATAGAGAACACCACCAGAGCAGAACACAGGGAAAGGTGTGTATCCGCCTCGGAGGCTCTCAGTCCTCACGGTGCTGGTGCCCCAGAGACCTGTAACCGAAGGGACAGGGGACTCGGCAGAAGGCTTTAGAAAAAAAATCCAGGGATGGTGAATTCTGAATCTCTGCCTTTCCAGAATCATTCATTTTCAGTCTTCTTTCTCTGGACATGCAAGGGAAGCAAGCATGATCTCCTTAATTGAACACAATAATGTGCATAGAGGGAAAAAAGGCCATGCTGGCAGAGGAAACTGTCAGGTACACAGAAGCAAATATAATTGGTCCTGCTATCTTTTAGAACAGCCAAATTGCTGCTTAATAGAAAAATTAAAACTTAGGAGGCCAAAGGAAAATAAAGTTATTACATGACTCTGATACTAAAAAAGGACACTTTAAAAAAAAAACAAAAACGCCTGCACTTCCAGCCTAACACATCCAGTGCTTTCATTCCCTTCAGGGCCCCTTCTGCTCCATCACCCAGGATATGTTACTATTATAAAAAAGGCAGAGTGAGCTCCGAGTTCTCTAAGCCCAATACCCAGAACACATCAGGTCTGAGATCTGAAAGAGAAAGAGCTGAAGAAATCACCATGCCTCTTATGTTCTTCCTCACTCCCCGGCCCCTGCTGGCCTCGCCAGTGGCAAGTTACTGACTCTGTGGGCAGCCAGCCCCCTCAGGGAGTGGAATACAAAGCTGAGGAAGCAGAGTAGCAACATGACCTCTGAGAGACGAGGATCACCACAATACCTGAGGTTACTTTCTAGGAAAACCAACTCCTTTGTATTAATCTTCTATGCCCTTACCTTATTCCTCTGCTTACGCTTTAGATGGCTTTCTGCTACCCACTACAGTAAAGTCCAGTCATCTTGCCTTGGTTGACAAGGTTTGCCACAATCTGGGCAAACTCCTGCCTCTGGTCCCCTCGCCCACTACTGCCAGAGTACATTCCCATCTTACCCCAAAGCCCATGCCCCTTCACGGCTTTGCAAATGACTCTCTCCCATCCAAAGGCCCTTTTCTCATTTCTTGGTCAAAATGCATCTGTCTTCATATTCAGCCCCCATCAGCGACCTTTGCAGACCCTCCCCTACTTCCACACTGCTCTCCACTGACTCCTGTTATACCATTTCTCACCGTGTATTGTCTTTCCTTTCTCTTCAAGGCTTTCCCATCAGTCTGCTTCTTAAGGAGCAGGACCATGCCTCTTTCCTCTTTAATCTACCCCAGTGCCTAGCACAGTGCCTCAAACAGCAGGTGCTCAATAAACGAGAGAGGGATAAATCTCCTGGGCTGCCGGTGGGTGACTAAGCTGAAACTATACAGATCTCTACAGACTGCCAGCCTGGGGCTTTTCCATTATACCAGGCCCTTCTTTAAGAACAGTCAGTTAAAACTTTTCATGAGCTTTCTAATCAGCAAAACCCAGCACCAGGCTAACAGATGGTAATGCCAAATTCTAGGTCTAGACTAAAGCCAACCCCCAAGTTACAGACTGTTGTGTTCTCTCTTCTCTTACTAGGTGCCATCTCTCCCCCTCTTCTTTATGATAATGCTCACAGAAGAGAGTATAAAACTACAAGAGAAATCTGTGGAAGACAAAAAGAGCTGAGAGAAAAATCTGATCTCATCAAAATTTCTGCTTCAGCCGAGCCTCATTCATTTCTCAAGCTCTGCTTAAGATATGTCACCTTTTGGGTTTTTTTTTTTTTTTTTTAGTAAGACAACGACTAGTGATAAAGAAGACTACCCAAAAGCACAATTTTATTTTTTTAACTTTTACAACAATTTTAATATTTATATTTGAAAGACAGGGAGAGAGAAAGAGAGAGAACTAGGAGGGGAGGGGCAAAGAGAGACAGAGACAGAATGCAAAGCAGGCTCCAGGCTATTAGCACAGAGCCCAATGTGGGGCTCGAACTCACAAGCCGTGAAATCATGACCTGAGCCAAAGTCGGACGTTTAACCAACTGAGCCACCCAGGCGCCTTGCAAAAGCACAATTTTAAATAGGCTCAAGGTTCAGCAACTTTACAGGGAGAAAGACCTGGGAGATTCGAGGAGGAGGAAGGGCAATACTACAGAGGAGTCCCCTTACAATAACATAAGATGAAGGTGCATTCAAGTTGCCGGCAGTATTCCAATTAGTTTACATGGTAAACTACACATAAGAAGACAAAGAAACACTTAACTCTTTTTCAAATCAACTGTCTTATAAAGACAGTTCCAAAGTTCGTAGTCCCATTGAAGGAAAACCAACATACAGGGCTTAAAAATGGTAAAATACATACTTCCCAAAGCTAAATAAAATAATAAAATAAAATAAAATAAAATAAAATAAAATAAAATAAAATAAAATAAAATAATAAAATAAAATAAAATAAAATAAAATAAAATAAAAAAGCAAAGTCCTGCTAAAAAGAGCCAGTTTTGGTCCAGGAAGGTTACCTACTTAGCAGATTCCTGCTTTTATTACCCGCAAGCCAAACGAGAGCTGCAGTTATATGAAATTTACACAAGGGTCTTCATTTCTGGAAAGGCAGCCTGGGAGCAGAAGGAAAGAAAACACCCGCTGTTGATTCTCTTATGAAGGAAGAAGGGAAGTGAGCGCCAAGCCCCGAACCAGACACAGATGTCCCAGGGTCGGTGCCCCGGCCCTCACCGAGAGTGTTATGGACGCCGTCCGCCTCTTCTTTCACAGACTCATCCAGGCGCTCCAGGTTCTGCACGAGCAGCGCGACCACCTGCCCATCCACCTTCAGCAGCAAGGAAGCAAGAGGAGAGAGGGACACGTGTCACAAAACAGGCCCCCAAATGTTCCCGTTCCCATACTCACTTCTCACCCGCATGAACAAAAGAACTAATGGGCCACCCATGCTTTAGGGGATGCTCTCCCTGTGCTCTCCCATCCCATTATCTCTCCAAGTCTTGAAGTGACCCCCAGGCAAAGAAAGGGCGGGCATCATTATCTCCAACTTAGGATGAATAGATCAGAGCATAAGGAGACAAAGTAAAATTCAAGCTTACAAAGTTAGTGAGTGCCGGCGCACCTGAGCTTAGGCCTTCTGAAATCAAGTTCAGTGCTCTTTCTACTTCTCTGTGGTACTGAAACAAACACCCTGCAAAAGTCCCTTCTTAGGTCAGATCCATAGTTTGTTCAAGTCAAAAGAAAGTTGCTGGACCACAGCACCAAGAGATGTTTAGCTAGGAAGGTTACTTGCCATGATTTACACTGACCTCAAACTTTAGGGTTAAACTCAAAACATTCCTAACATTTCATGCTAAGCTTTAATGAAACTATTACTTCTGATGAATGTCTAATTCCTTCTTGATAAGACTATTAACATAATAAAATGTCTTAATGCATGAGACAACAATTAAATTTCTCTAATTTGATTCACACAACCTTATAGGAAACTTTCAGTAGCCACATCATAGAGCTGCTATTCAGAGATTAACAGCTTAGTCACGACCAAACAGCTACTGAGCAGTGGCCCAAAAAATAAATAAACAAAACCCAAGCTTCCTTCTTCAGTGAAATAATGCCGATACTACTTCATGCTACTCTAGGCACAATCTTAGGGTGACCGTCCTTGGGGAAACCCTGATGCACACCAAGGAAAGTAACTAAGGAAACTCCTCATAATCAAGAAGTGATAATCCATCTGGTAGTGAATATCTAATTAGTAGCCAGTAAGTAAACCTGTACGGGAAGATAAAACCTACCATGTACCTGTGTTATATCCTCTCTCTCACTGCCTCAGTTTCCTCACTTAGGAAATGGGAATAAGTTATAAAGATTAAATAAAAGTGTGTGGCATATCTTACACTGGGTTGGATCAAAAATTAAGTACAGAGTTGTTGTTTTTTAATGTTTATTTATTTCGAGAGACAGAGACAGAGCATGAGAAGGGGAGGAGCAGAAAGAGAGGATCCGAAGCAGGCTCCAGGCTCTGAGCTATCAGCATGGAGCCCAGCGCAGGTCTCAAACTCAAGAACCATGAGATCATGACCTGAGCCCAAGCTGGACGCTAAACCGACTGAGCCATCCAGGTGCCCCTAAGTAGAGCTGGAATCTAGCTCTTTACCTCATGTGATATCTGATCATTCACTATTCATATCTCTCATGAACCAAGAAAAACTCCAGTTCTTTGAAAGCAGTCACCAAACCCTCGCTCATCTCGGTCTACTCTTCCAAGTATAGAGCAATGCTGTAAAACATGGCAGATTTTGCTAAATTCAAAAAAACTGACAAAACACTCCCTTTGTGTACTGCAATCAGGTTTTTACATAAATTGTTCCATTTACTCTCACGTAATCCTCACAGCTTTTACAGGTGGGCAAACAAAGGTCCAGAGAGGTTAACTAGCCTAATCAAAGTCACAAAGCTTGCGGCACAAGTACTGACTCTAAGCCTCTTGTTTTTTTCCTCACACATCCTGTCGCTTTGGGGACGGGAAACAAAAAGGAGAGAGACGGACACTTCCCTGAGCACTTCTGAATAGGGCACCCTACGACACAATTCAAACTGAGCCCAAGGATGGAAAATGGCAAGAGGGACAGAGCTTGAAATAAGGCCTCTTTACTCTTTCTTGGTGATGCTTAAAGGAAGCATCTGGCAAGAGGGAAAAAAAGCTGAAATTACTGAGTAATCTGTGAACTTGAGTCATAAATGAAGTAGGGTTTATCCCCTTGAGGCCCTTTATGGTGTAAAGAACAACGAAAGACACGAGCTGCAGCTTTCAGAGGCTACTGATGCCAGAACTGAGGGTGCCCGTAAATACCAGAATGAGCTGTTTTCCCCTCTTATCCCAAGGAGATATGCAATCTTGCTCTCAAATCTCACAGCCAGCAAAAGCTTCACCAAAGAAATCCACTGCAATGTTTTCCTTAATTAATTGGACAATTTGAGTATGTGAGAGGAAACAGAAAAACATCTGGGGGGGAAATATGAACCATGTCACAGTTTGTTTTTCCCTAAATCACCCTGATTGACTTATAATCTCCCTGAATCCTAAAGCAGCAGACACTGCAAATCCACTGGGTATCACACTCTTGTCGGTTCTGCAAACGGCTTTACCCGTTTCAATTCCTCATTGCTGCCTTATCTGCTTTATCTGTTTCTCCCCCTTTTCTTGATTCTTTGTTATGTTTCCCATCTCTGCTGTCTGGAAAATGGGGGTGGGAGGGTGGGGGGACAGTGGCATAAGCAACGCATTCAAGTTCCAGAATGGAATGGTTACAGAGAGTGGGTATTTGGCTGGAGAAATTTTTTTTTTTTTTTTTTTGGGCTACAGAAATCTAACTTCTAACAGGCAGTCTTTTCAAGCTTGCCAAGTGTGAAACTTTATGTTTAACTGGGTTAAATGCAATTTTATCTGATTGTAGAAGGGTCAAAGCAGTCAAAATACATGTAGCTCAGAAAACCCCGGGAAAAATGTTTATATTATGCATAGCTCTGGATATCATCTTAAGAAGCACAAATGAGCATTCTGTCTAACTCCATCCAGCCCCTTGGGCCTACCACCTTCATGCCAATTTTACCTGCGACTAAACCTGAAACGAAAAACAAACCCCGGTCAGAGATGAAGGGGTCAACCAGAGCCAACCCTGGCCTGGAAATCACGACTGTCTGCAGCCTGACGGTTTCTGGTAAGTCACTGGTTACGTCTGCTTGTTAGCAGATCCCCTGAACAACATGCCAGCGGGACCTACTGAGACACAGTCCAAGGGCATGATCAGATCCTTTTCCTCTTGACCAGGGAAGATGGATACAAAAGAAAAGGACAAATTTAAAAAAAATAAAGGACAGAGGAGAAGGTCTGAAGGATTCTCTTTCTATCTTGGATAGTCTGCCAATAAGCCTTAAGAATTTGGAGTAAAATTTTGTAGCTATCCTGAGTTCTGGAAAGTTCATATTTAAACGACTAAGAAAAAAACCTCTCACATCCAACGAATCTTGATCATGTAGTAAGTTCAGAGGTCACATATGGTAAGATGGTCAGAACGTAAAATTTCCGCCTGTTACCACCTATCTTGTAATATTTTAGCTTCCGCTCTCGCTCCCTCCAGTTCGCTGTCCACACGGCTGCCGAGAGCGGTCTTCCTAGGATGTTAGGTCAGACTATGTTGCTTCTCCATTGCTTATGGGCCCGCCAGTTACTTCCCTTCACACTGGCAATTCCACCCCAAGGTCCTACCCAGGCCTCCAAAACCCTGAGTAATCAGGCCCTGACTCCGCTCTCTCTTCTCACCCCAGCTGTGCTTGCAGTTTTCTGCTCCTTGAATCTGTCAAGCTCAGTCCTGCCTGAGGTCCTTTGCACTTGTCCCACCTTGCCCTTGGTCATTCTGAATGGCGGGTTTCTTCTTGTCATCCTGAACTGAGGCCTCCGATGACTATCTAATCTAACGTGACTTCCCAGTCTCCGTACATCACATCACTCTGTTTTAATTCTTTATGTAACAGAGAATCACTCTCTGGTTTCTGGTTTGTTTACTGCTTCTCCCTATGCTGGATGTGAGCTCACAAAAGCAGACTCTCTCAGTCTTGCTCACTGCTATATATCCCATTTCTAGTGTCCAGAATATACCAAGCACGCAGTAAACATTCAGCAAATGAACAAACAAGTGAATTTTGCTTGGGAACAAATACAAACACGGGTGAAGACATTAAGAGAAATGGGGAGGGATAAAAGTGATAGGATCCAGAAACTTAATAAATCTCTTTAGAGCAACTGAAAGCCCGCCACCCTTAGCCTCACCTGAGCGGCACAAATGCACTGCCACCCTGCCCAAGTCAAACCATTGTAGGACTTCTAAGCTGAACACTGAAGTAGGGTTAGCTGAGTGTAAGAATGGGTCTGCAAGGCAGTGTCTGGACTCTCCACACCATAGCCACTTTTGTGAAACTCTTTCTACCAAATGGTGGCTCCTAGCCATTATGGCCAATGTTGTGGCCCAGCCACATTCCCACCTCCTCCGGCTGGGACACCCGCACACATCCTCCTGTGAAAGCTTCCCTCTGAGGCCACAGACGGTGAGTGCTCCCTCCCCCTTGCTTCCATAGAAGCTGACATCTCACAGCCGTTCTGAATATTCTGCCTTGCGTGATCATTATTTCATCCTTTTATTTTTTTTTTTTTAAACTGAACATCTATCCTCCCATGTCTTACTCAGGTCCATTCCCTTCCAAAGTTTTTTTTTGAGTATTTGTTCAAAATGTCTTTTGAGCATCTGTCAAAATGAAAAAGAAACACTGAACTCAGCAAATACTTACAAACATCTCGCTGCATGGCAGGTGACACAGATCATTTTAGCTTGACATTTACGAAGTACTTAGTATGTGCCAGGCATAACAGCTTTATGAAGATAACGGCCGGCATTAGTAGGTGTTTACTCTGTGTCGGACACTGCTCTAAAGGTTTATTAAAGAGTATTTATTCCTCAGGTCAGTGCTACACGACAGGCACTACTGTTATCCCCATTTTACAGAAGAAGAAACGGAGTACAGAGAGAGTAGGTTAACTTTCCCGAGGACCCAGGTGGAGGTAAATGGGGTGGTAAATTACGGAGCTACCACTCTGGCCACTCCCTTGATGGGAATCACATCTCAGGGAAGACAAACTTATCAGCAGATGTCCAGAAGCCAATGTGACAAATGCCAGGATATACAAAGGGCTGAAAGAACACAAATTCTGCTGGGGGGGATGAGCCTTAGAGAAACTTCAAAGAGATGAGCTTTAAGTGGTATTGAGTGGGAACACTGCCTGCAGCCAGGGAGGGGCAAGGCCTGCCAAGGGGAAGGTAGATGTGAGCAAAGGCACGGGACAGCCGACAGCCGAGCACATGACAAATTTGGGGACTGGTGCGGAGGAAATAGCTGTACTCTAATCACAACTCTCAAGAAGTCCTAACTGCCATGAAAGCAATACACCCTCGCATTTAGAGCTCCTCAGAAAAGAGTCTACTTTCCAGACTACCAAATCGATGCATTATACGGCACCGATATCCACTTTTTGCATAAATATTAGCAGTGGGTGTGAAGCAAATGTTAAACCCCAAAGATCCCTGAGAATGCCAGGACAGCACTCTCTCCCCACAAATGTGCTTGTCTATTGCTTAGGACTTCCAACTGGGAAAAAGACCAAGGCAATAACTGCACACTGCACACCACAATAAATTCTGCTGCATGCCCTCTAGCCTCTGCTCATGCAATTTCGGGCCTCTGATATTGGCCCCAAATTAAAACTACAAAGACAACTCAACCCTTGTAATATGAGAATACTTATCAAACTTCTTCCTGGATGCAGCACAAGGGCAAAAAAAAAAAAAAAAGAAAGAAAAAAAGAAAGACCACCCACCAGTTCTGCTCTGTTATTTACTGATGGCTTCTGACTGGCTGCACACAAGCAAATAACAGAGGAAGTCTAGGAATGTTCAGCTGTGGTTCACACCAGCCCCACCAGTATAAAGCAGTAAGAGTCAAAATCTTAAAATGATAATAAAAAACAACTAAACAAACAGAAAATCCTTTATGGCAGCTACCTGATGGCTCCCCAGACTGAGGATGAACGGTTTCTTTCCAAACAAACAATAAAATCTGCACAATCCAGCTTTTGTTCGTGGGCTTAGCAACACAGAAAACACAAAGGGGGCTTTTGTGTGAACTGCTGTTTCTGGGTCCGTTTTATAGGCAGCAGCCAGGCTGGCTGCTCCTCTCTCATCTCCCCTATTCACACAGGCAAAGGATGGTAATTAAAATCATCCCAGGGACCAGGCAGGAAGCCTTATTCGGGGCCACTGTAATTAACCTCTGGTAGGTAAGACTGCACAAATGACACTGTGGGGACACAGGGCAGGGGCAGGTGTCACAGCCTTCCTTCAGATCCTCCTCAAAACAAAAGGACAACCCAACATCATCCTTTTCTCTCTGCACAGTGGTTCAAAGGAGAAATAAAGGTTCTGAATTCTACAAAAGTGGCAGCTCACTCTAGGAAGGGGCTTGAAAGAAAAATGGCAATAGAAATTTTCATCATGCTCAGCCACAAAGAGCCCTGCTGGACTCCAGCCTCACTCTCTATAACAGACAGTCCTTCATATCCAGTGGGTTCACAACCTCTTCATTCACACCAAATGCCAGCAACAAGCATGGCACATGGGAAATTTCTAGTGTCAAGAACCTTGAGAGAGAGAGACAGAGTGAGGAGAGGGTGGGCAGAGCAGCAATGGGGTGTCAGAATCACTTGGGGCCCCAGTCCCAGTCATTCTGATTCAGTGGGTTTGGGATGGGGCTAGACTAGAAGCTAACAGAGACGCCGGTGCTTCTAATACAAGTGACTGCAGCGATCTCTGATAAACTGTAAACTTAACTAACATCCTTAGCAGAAAGAAAAAACAAGACAACAGAAGGCAACAGAGAGGAAGGTGAATTCACAGAGCCTTGAGGGAGGAGACAGCTTGGTGGCTGGACAGGGCTCCACAGGCAGTGTCAGGGTAAGCGGCTGGCCAGCTCCGGCGCCGCTCTGGTCTCAAAGGCCTCAGTGGTGGCTGGCGAGGGAGGAGCCGATGTGGCGAGGCAGGACTGTGCGGCAGGGATGCGGGCCCGGCAGAGTGACCCGGGAGATGGCTGTGCTTCTGCATCCGGGCTGCCTCACATGTGAAGTGAGGTGCTAAGAATGGATCGGTTTAACTCATAAGTAAACTCTTCCTTTCGACTGCCTGCTGCCTGAAAGATTCTGAGGCCTTGCCCAGGCTCCACAAAGAAGGCGCACGGAAATCCACTGGCCCTGCCTCTACAGGCATCCAACCCTGGCTGGAGGAGCTGGAACGTTTGTTCTTGCTTTTAACATTGTCCAACTCCCTGTCTGTAAACTCATAACGGTATCTGTCCTCACCAGCGCTCAGAGAGGAGAGAAGAAACATCTGTGAAAACTCTTGGTGAAAAGGCCAGTAGCGCCACAGTTAGGGGCAGAAGGACAGGGACACGGGGCCAAAGAGAACACAGGTTCCCATCCCAGCTGGGTGCCCGTGGGCAAGTCGTTTCGCCTAAGCCTCAGTCTCTCAGCTGGAAAATGGGAATAGTGGCTGTGAATACCCATCCGAGAGGATACAGTAAGGCTCACGTAACTGGAAAATGATGAGAAAAGGCCTGCCTACAATAGGTACTTAATAAATGCCGGGCCTCTACAACCCCTAGCAACCCCCTTAACACAGTTCCCCAGGACTGAGTACCCATAGGCCGCACTGCTACTTTCAGACCCTCCTCACTCAGTGCAGCCTGGCCACCGAGCTCACACCCACCGGCTGCCACTCACAGAGAAAACGGTGGGGACAGCAACACCTTACAGACACCTGCAGAACCCCAGCCGGACGTGCGACTCACCAGAGCATCGATGAGTACTTCCGCTCCCTCTTCACTCTCGTGGAGGGTGTCGATGTCTGTTAGCTCCTGAAGCAAATCAACCACAGCTATGGACACATGTGCAAAGCGTTAAGGGCACCACGAACACACTGAAACCCTGCTGTCAGTTTATGAAAATCCCTGCTTCCCTTCTGTTTCCTTGTCAACCATTTTGTCACCATTCACCTTTCATACATGGTGGGTTTCTCAACATCTCTTCAACAAGGTTCTACCCACAGTGGGTGTTCAGTAAATGCCGTTACCCAGCTCTGTCTTTTTCCTTCCGCTGCCTCCCTGCTCACGTACTCCATAGGTTCATTTTCCCAAATTGCAAAATCTCAAATAGATTGCTCGGGAGGTCGCTTTTCCAGGGAGAAAGAGGCCAACACCCTTAACCCTATCACACAATTTAAATTCTTGGAACTCAGTATAATCTGAACTACCCTGTTCAGCTCACCTTCGAAGGCAGTAATGATTTCTGAGATGAGATGGCTGGCATCTACCAAGAGGCTGTAGAGAGCAGGCCATGGCACCATCAGTTTCAGACGCAGATGGAAGGCTTTAGGCTGGACTGAGCCACACACCCCCGCTTGAGGCTCCCTCCCCTCAAACACTGAGCTGCCGTGGACATAAAAGGCAGAACAAAGAGAAGTAAACAAAGCAACAGCAAAAATACAAGGAGGAAAATATACATGAAAGAGAGAAACATGCAAGAGGGAAAAAAAGAGGTATGTCTGGAAACTGGAAGGCAGAACTAAATAAAGGAAGTCTCCCTTCCCTCGCCCTGGAAACTCTCTCACACACAGAGACGACCTGCATTTCTGTGAAGAAGAAAGCACTGCGATGGTGACAAAGGCAAATCCATGATCCACTCTGGGCCTCAGTTTCTTCCTCCACAAAAAGTGGAAGTTCAATAATCAGAGACATTTAAAAAATTGTACACCACAGGCAACTGCCAACGTGCAACAAATGAGGAATACAGATGTCCTGAAAGGGGGGCCATCAAATGGAACTTGGAAATCAGGAATGCTCTGCTAGTAGGCTGGTCAGAAAACAGGTAACTAAAAATGTTGAGGGCAGAGGGGCCAGAAAGCAAAGGCACAGGGGTAAAAGCAGAGACTGGAATACACAAAGGCCCATGAAGGGAGAAGAAAGGGGAGGGAGGGGAGGACAGAAGAGAGGGAGAGAAGAGAGAAAGTCAGAACTAGAATTATATGAAGGAAATAGTATTTTGGAAGAATAATAGCTAACAGCTGTGTGCAGGGGGCACTAAAGCACTGAGTGCCGGGCGCGGGGATGGGCAGAAGGCAGGATGAGCAGGTAGCTGGAGGGTGAGGGCTGGGCAGGGAGCCAGGTCTGGAGGAGAAGACACCACACACAAGAGTCCAGAGCAACACAAGGTCAGAAGCAGGGCAGTTTCACTAGAACTAGAAAGAAAAAAATAAAAGGAAAGACACAGGTCACAGTAACAAGAATGATAGGACTTGCTAACTGCCAACTGACATTCCAGGCATTTTATGAACATCTTCTGCTGAAAGAAAAGCTATTGGAAGGTTGGTTTTATTCACGAATAAGGACCAGGCAACCGTCATGCATAAGTAAGTAAGCTGTGTCTTCTTTCACTCTTGAAAGTGATATTTACCCCAGGGGCGCCTGGGTGGCTCAGTTGGTTAAGCCTCCGACTTCGGCTCAGGTCATGATCTCATGGTTCATGGGTTCGAGCCCCGCGTCGGGCTCTGTGCTGACAGCTAGCTCAGAGCCTGGAGCCTGTTTCAGATTTTGTATCTCCGTCTCTCTCTGACCCTCCCCTGCTCACGCTGTCTCTCTCTCTCTCCGAAATAAATAAAACATTAAAAAAAAAATTTTAAAGTGATATTTACCCCAAACACCAGAGTGGTACAAAACTTACTATGTGCCAGAGCTTAAAGGTCTTTGGACAAAACTCCTTTAGGTGTCTAGTCTCCATTAACAAAGTAACCAGAAAGCAGGTGACACAGAAGACCACCTTATCATACCTGACATACAGTAAACCAAAATATGGAAGTCGACTGAATTAATTCTTTTAAGTTTTATTTATTTCTGAGAGAGAGAGCGAGAGAGCGCTCATGCATGAGCAGGGGAGGGTCAGAGAGAGAGAGGGAGATACAGAATCTGAAACAGGTTCCAGGCTCTGAGCTGTCAGCACAGAGTCCAATGCAGGGCTCAAACCCACGAACTGTGAGATCATGACCTGAGCTGAAGTCAGAGGCTTAACCAACTTGAGCCACCCAGGCACCCCAAACTGAATTAATTCTAAAAAGCAAAAACCGGCTACCAAATGAACCCCTAGAAAGCCCGGCACCACCCGACTGGAGGAGTTTGGAGTGAAGACTGCAGTGGTCACCACCGTAATAACCACCATGTCTGAGAGTCATCATTTTGCTAAGCACTGTGCTACCGAATTCTCACAACAGCATTGTTAAGTATGATATCCCCATTTTACAGATAAGCAAGCTAAAGCTCCAAGTGGTTAAGTAACTTAGCTAAAAGGTCACTGTGCCAGTAAGGGAGAATGTTAGGTCCATCTGGTTCCCAAAATGATGTTTTTGCCACGACACTTCATAATTCCCCTGTGCGTTATTATGAACGCCAGGTTTAAACAGGGCTAAGTTCAGGCAAATTCTAGCTACTGATCCTACTGTAAAGACAAAGAACTGTCATGTATTTCCACCAAAAATTATTAAAAGTGTCAGGAAAAAACAAGATGTTGAAAACTCCCCTTCATCCTCCTCACCTAAGAAACTCCCAAATATATTCTCTAGAAAAATTCTTACATCTGTGGCGTAAAAATCGTACTATCTATTCACATGCTTATTTAATACGCATCACATTTGATCTATCTATCTATCTATCTATTCATCCATCCACCCGTCCATCCATCCACTGTAGAGTCAGATGTCTATAAGCAGGAATATGAAATCAGGCAAAAAAAAAAAAAAAAAAAAAAAAAAAAAAAAAAAAAAAAAAAAAAAAAAAAAGGCAAAAAAAAAAAAAAAAAAAAAACCAACAAAATAGAAAATCTAAATCAGGCATGTGTTAAGTACTATCATCACATCCCTTGAATAACACCATGCATAACTATTTATTAACTAGTATGTGACGATGTTAATTAAACAATAGCCTCCCAAGAGACAGGTGGGGACGCATGAAAGAACAAGAGACAAAGAGTCAGGGCAAACATGAGGTCAGGGGTCATGTCATATTCATCCTTGCTTCACATCTTTAGTGAACTGAATTACCCCCAAATTATCACTAGCCATGTAGTCTCGTTCAAGCCCCTTTATTTCCTTACAGCTTAGTTTCCTCGCCTAGAAAATGGTGGTAAATGGTCTCTGCCCCGCCCATCTCTCTGAGTAGCTAGAAGGAACAAGTAAGGGCATGTACATCGAAGGCCAGGTAAATCAAAGTACTAAGAAAATATGAGAGTGTTTTATAATAAAGACCATTAGTCAAGTCTTCTCACAGAATGGCCAAACCCCTCACTGCTGCCTTCACGTTTCCCCGAAGGCTCTAAAATCTAAAATGTAAGCTAACGACAGCATGGTCCCCCTTTCTGGGTCACACTAGGTTGGAAGATCTAACTTTATATTTCAGCTATGCTACATTCAGATTGATCAAGTCCTTTTTCAGCCTCTAAGGTCTTGAGGGCCAGGTATCATATTTTTCTTTGATTAGCCTTATATCATGCTCACAAATGTGTCACGTTAAACCTAGGAACCTTTTTAAAAAAGGAAAAAAAAGTTGACAATGGTGGTGGTTTTATATAGGACAGGATAAACGTCTAACTTTTACCAAGAAAAGTCATTTCTAAAAATGTTCCAGTAGTGACTTCCCTGCCTACTCTCTCCTACCTCAGCTGAGAAGTCAAACACGAAACCAGTTAGTTACCAGCTACCAGGTCTGGTGACCATCTTATCAATTCCACCACTCACTGATTTTACATAAATCCCTAACTTTCACCAAATAACATTTCGGCAAGGCAGTAACGAGTCCGTAATTGTAATCATCACCTCCACGGAAATGTGGTATGACCCGGAAGACAGAGGTCATCTGAAGACCAGAAAGTGGGATGAAAACCGGAACTAAAGACAGACAGGCAGACTCTCAGTTGGGAGGAGAAAATTCAGCATGTGGTCTGCCACCCATCCAGCATTTCTTCACAGGCCGACTCTGGGCATGGGTGATAGGTTTTCCACTGTAGTTACAATTTCATTTCACAAGGTAAAAGGCTCTCCCGTCCAAGTATAACAGGAAAACAGAGAGCCTGTCTCTCTGTGAATTACTAAAACACAGTTTTTGATAGCCTATTTTGTCATGTCGAGTAGAAAGGCCGCCCCACACACTCCCTCTGCACCTGTCCACTGCTGGGGCAATAAGCTAGAGTAATAAGAGGTGAAGGAGAGAAGACCAGCTGGGCACAAAACGGTCCCTAATACCGCAGCTCTTGGAAAAAGAGGGGTATCTACTTCCGTTTTTGTTGGTGTGATCCATGTAGTTTTGGTACAGAAACTGAGCATGAATCCCATTAATCTCCAATGAGATTGGTCCATAAGGAGAAAAGTTATTTAAAAAAAAAAAAGATAAGAACAAGATGGTAGTAAGCAGATGGCTTTTTTTAAAAAGTCATTTCAAAAAGGACTCCTTAAGAAAAATGAACCAGGACAGTATAGATTCAGAGTATATAACTGATGTAATGGAACAAATGTGGGTTTTTATTTAAAAAAATTTTTTCTTCTATTCCTAGACTAGGACAGTGAAATATGAATCAATTAATGCAGATGAGTTTCAAAACACAGACAAAATCACCTTTCTCTCCTTTTAAAATAGTTGGCACAGAACGACCTAGAATAAATCTGGACTCTTAATTTTCTCCCAATCCTAGATCAAACTAATATGAGGGAGAAAATGTGCTCATTCAAGATGCAGTAAGGACCTGCTAAATACTAATGGGCACTATTATGCCACAGGGGAGATGCCCAAAGCAGGCTACCACCACCCACGTCGTTCAGGGGCAAGGAATTCACCTAAAACTCATAAACAAGATCAAAAGTTACACTGAGAGGTCCTTTTCCTAGATTGCCACTTCAGCACTTCTCACCTAACCTGACTTTCTTTGGCGCATATTTAAGTGACTCCAAACAATGGGAGGCTGATCAGTGCAGATTATCAGACAATGTCAGTACCTTCCTTTCAGTGCAGTTTTGATTCTGGAAATATCAAGATGAGAATAGCTCCCAGCAAAACAACAGCTCAAGATATGCACGTCTTGTTAGACAGCGCTTGCAGAAAGGCACTCGAGCAGCAGCCGACTCCCTCCCAATCCAATTAGAAGAAAGCCCAAAGAGGCTCAAACCCTTCTCAGCCCTATTCCTGCTCATTAACACGGGGGCCCTAGCACACAGCCCCCCTCACTGCTGCACACACCCTTGGGGATAATATGGTGTGTTGCAGTCAGTTTGTGCTACTTTGGCTTTCTCAGACCCAAACTGCTCAAGTTCAATTGATCCCCGCTGGTCTAAAAAAAACTGTCTGCTCTTTAGTTTCCAGTTCCCACAGTAATTCCTCACAAAATCCAACAAGATAACTTTCCAGGTCTTCCTGGCTTTCTACAGTCTACAAAAACTAAGCAGGAATTTAGGAAAGAATAGTGCTAACAACCGCTCCGTAAAATTACCCCAGACCAAAAAAAAAAAAGCTGTCCCATCAGCACCAAGGATCTCCTCAATAACAAGTCTCTCCCTTCCTGCATATTAGCATGCAACTCACTGTAATAATGCCTGAGGTCAACATTACAATGAGACCCTATTTTTCTGAATCACAAACAGGTGGAGAGAAAGCAGACTTTGAATAAACGTGGTTTACTCTCTCTCTCTCTATATATATATACACGTATTAAAGAACAGAGCACTTACCAGGGAAGTAGTAGTTGTGTTGGGGGGAGAGGTGGAGGGGAAGAGGGAAGTCATGAGCCTGACACCCTGGTAAGTTTCTAGTGACTACATGAGCACGTCCACTCCCAGCATGTGAGGAATGGCAATTTCCACTGCCAAGGTACAGACCATGAAAATAAACGTGAAACACGCTCTCATCTCCACATCTGTCAAAAGCTTACCCATCTCCAATACCCAATTCCCTAATCACCCCCAAGCCAGAAATGACTCACACCTCAGAACTCCAATGGCATTTCCCGAGCATAATCCTCCAAGGGCACTTCCCATGCATAGTAAGTAACTTGTAAGTGAGTAGGTGTTTTTGTTATCGACTGGAGTTATTATTTCTTGTTTCCCCAATAGCACCCAACAGGGCTTAGCACAAAAAGGAGAAACCCAGTAACAGCCAGCGTGATCTACCATAAGGGCTTTAGAAAGGACAGCACTGAGTTGTCACTCAAGTTGAGAACACAGCTAATGACACATGACAATAGGAAATTTATGGATGTGGGGCCCTGGTGACTTAGTTTTTTGTTGGTGGTGGTAAAAGGGGTGATGAGCCACCATCTGGGGTTTTTATCTTCCCCTTGTTTCATTCTTCCTGGTTCCTTTAGGCAAAATGAGTAAGTATGGCTTACACTGGGCCACAAAAACTGTTTTGCAGTACCTTAAGAAAGTATCTTTAAATGCCCCTTTGATTTTATGATTCTGTAGAAACACTCCAAAAGGTTCACAAAAAAAGGGGTTCTAAACATACTGAAATGACTTACTTCAAAGGAAAAGGCAGTAATTCTAAAAGGCAGCGGCAGCCGTTGGATCCTACCTGGTGTTCCCTTCCAACACATTCCCCGACTCTCCACAAAGCTGTGTGAGGGGTGTGTCCCGCCTCTCAGCCCCTCGCCCCCAGAGGTGCTCTTCACAGACCAGAATTTTCCGCAGCCTCACAGTGGGGAGCCAGGGACCCAGAAGCACTGACAAGCCCTCAGCAGCAGCACTGATGCGGAGCGCCAGAATAAACTCGGAAGCTGCCTCTCTCACGGTTGAAAGGACGAGGCACAAGCTGTTTTCTGGCATCCCCTGCCTCTTAAGGTGACAACAAACCAGCCTCTGAGCCAATTAAAACCCCTATAGTTTATGTTTTCTTGGAGAAGGACAAAGGCAAAAGTGACCTGAACTTGCGGGGAGCATGACCAGCCACGTATGGTCCTGGTTGATAAATGAAGAGTTAAAAACAACGAAAAATCTAAGTCATGACTGCCATGAAATTGTTCATTCACGGTAAGGTGTTTCGGGCAGTTACAACTGGACAACAGTAAATTGTTAACAAGCGTCCCCTGATGAAAAATCTCCATTCTAGATCGCAGATAAGACAAGACGCAGAGTGCAATGCTATGGGGACACCCACGTCCCGAAAGGGGAGAGGATGTGTCAGTTGCAAGTCAAGAGGGCCTACCCTTTACTGAATCCACTTTCAAGAAAAACTGTACTTTGAGGAGGATGACATTTCCCCTAATTGCTTCAGCTAATTAAAATTAGGTAATTAAAAAAATTTCAAATGCGCTTTAAATTTGAGGTAGGGCATAATTAAAAATCAGATTAAAAAAATATCATTAGGGCAGTAGGGTGAAGGTTGGCACACTAGAGGGGAAGGGAAAAAAACGCAGTTTAGCTCTCAAGAAAACAGGAGGGAAATGGCAATCTGTCAAAGTTATTATGGGGGGGACTTGTTTTTTTTCCTTTTTAAAGACCAGAACTTAACAACTCGGAACATCTGTGCCCTTGCCTTCCGCAAGCATGCCGATGTCAAACAGCACTTCTCATGTCAGTCTTCTCCCCAGCAGGAACCGGGCTGGTGAATCAGCATCTCGGAAGGCTGCTACTAGTACTTGGAGCTAGGGAGAGAAAGAAGAACGAGGGCCGTGTCTGCAGAGACAGACTTAGTGCTGCGTGTGTGAAGGCACCAGGGAGCAGATGACTGGGCGAGGCCGTCAGCGACGTGGCAGGTCATATGGGGAGAGGACTCAGGGCGCTGGAGAGGGCACTGGGCCAGGCATCAGGGGCCTAGAGCACCAGTCTCAGCCTCAACGGGTAGCCGTCCAACATTTGGGCCTTAGATTCATCACTAAAGAAATGAAGGCGGCACTGGGCTAAGTCATCTCTAAGGTCTGTTTGGATTCAGAAAATCTACCATTCTGTAGGTGAATTAAGATGTGAAGTCACAACTAGAATGCTCCCTCACCAACACCTTACCAACACTGTGAGGACTAGTTAGCATTTGAATAGGACTGATCAGGTGGTAGATAGCCAAATAATGTGTTTCTTGACTGATGCTGCTTGAGAATCCAGTCCACGGTTCCTTGGAGTCTAGTACTTTGCCTGGTACATAATAAAGCACTCAACGCATGTCTACTGAATGACTTCATGAGACCCTATACTGAGCTCACCCAGAAATGAGCTAATTGACAAGGGTTCTCGTACAGCCCATGACCCAGCAGGAAACCCTGGGGAACCCACTCATCAATCTGGGGACTCACAGAGTGATTCTTAATAGTCTCAAACACTACATGAAGTATCAGAAATGGCCTAAGATCACCCTTCAAGAAGTCTGCATTAAAATTATTCCCTGATTTATTTCTATGAGAAATATCAGGCAGGAAAGAACCTAGTCAGACATGCTCTCAGGAGAGAGATTACCAGAAAGATGAAAATAACATGAAGCAGCAGCAGATTCCCCGTGAATATCACTCAGGCAGACTAACTACATTTGTCTCGTTCCTTCGGAAATCTGGATTCAAACAGAACAACTATTGGAAGAGAATTTACTTTAATGAACATATCCCCGACCACAGGCACATCAAAAACCGTCTGCAGAAAGCTGATGCACATCTGAGAGCAAAGACAAAGTATAAAATGGTTTTGGAAGTCACAGTTCAGATTCAGTTAAAAGTAACATCTATTAAGTGCCTACTGTGTATCGGAAATTGCTTAGTCTTGACCATCATCTCCTTTAATACTCTCGGTAACACTGAAAGGCAAAAGTTATTAACTCCACTTCTGCAGATGTGACAATAGTGAGGGCTGGAGGGGCATCAAATTTCACACAAGAAATGAAGCTGGGGGCCCAACCAAGATCATCTGTTTAGGTCTAACGCTCATTCAGCAAATAGTAAGTGTTTCTGTGCACTGAGCCTTATTTTAAGGAATAGGGAATGCAGCAGTGGACAAAAGAGGTGAAAATCCCTGTCTTCCTAAACATTCCAATGTGCTTCCTACCGTGGTTCACTGCCTCCTGTTATCTCAACTCCACTGGGCCGTCTGTTAGCAGAGTGGTGTCTAGATTGACAGATTCAAATCCTATCTGGCCTTGCCACTGTCATGGGCCTGGAAATCAAGATCCTGAGAAATTAATGTTATTAAGGTATGAACAGATATATCATGATGAATCCCAGCACTAGTAAGAGACAACAGGACAATTAAGGACTGCCCAAGAATTATTCATAGATGAAAAAAAAAACAAAAAAACAACAGGTTTTCAAATGAGTAAAGAGCAGCACGTGTTACAGGACTGGAGATAATCAGAATGGAAAGAGAACACCAGACATGACAGTAGACATCAGCAAAGGCAGACACAGGAGAGAGTAAACAGCGTTCCCCCACCGTGTGCGCCTTCATACTGAGGACAGATCGGAAAGGATATCTGTATTATCGTGTCCAAGTAGCCCTAGAAGAGACTGCACGGCATTCAGCTCCACCAGCAAGTGGTATAGGTCTGGCATAGTAGCCACCACGTGCATCTCCTGAATGATGTCATTTAGGTCCAGCTCGGATTCCATAAACCTAGGAGAGGAAAACAAGACAGCATCAGTGAAAGGGAAGCACTGAGGACCAAACAACAACATAATCCAGACAGAGACAATCTGTCAAAGCGTCTGCAACAGACCAACCAGGAAGTACACTCATCCAAACATCACACTGTCACACAATTTCCTTGAGAAATCGATTTCCTCATTACAAAAATCAATCTTGGATTCAGATCTCATTATAGGGCTCCCTTTATTCTTGTGGTCACAAGTTGCCTTTTAGACTAAAGGCTCCTGAAGCATATTCTGCAGCATCGAATGACCCGCCCAGCGGTCCTGTGGGTGAGCTACCATTACCACTTGGTGTGGCCATCCACTGTGCTGCTCTGGCACGGTTATCCCTCTCATCCAGCAGAAGTTTCTCTTACCGGCCGCTTCAGATCAAGGGCCAATTATTCCCCTCACCCGAAGGAAAATACTGAGATTCTGCGTCCATCCAAAACTACCCTCCCTTCCTCCAAAGCCCCGCCTTCAGTACACTGATTAGGGGGCAGATCCCAGAGTAAAGCAGATCCAGTCTCTGGCACCCTGTAATCACCACCACACCTTACATAGCACAATACTCCATTCACATTTTCACACCTGAACCTTTCCACAAACCTATGCCCAGGCGCTAAGAACAAAACTCTTCTGCACTCGCCTCTCCCTGCCCTCCCCCAGTGTTTGACGTATACAAAATGTCCACTAAGCCTTTGATGAACAAGACAGGAAGGTTTGTTCCGAGGAGGAAGGAAGCCAATCCGTGTAAAGCAACTGAACAACACCTGATTGACAGTGATGGAGGGGCAGCAGCTCTAGACTCTGGGGTCAGGCTGCCTGGGTCTGAGCCTGATTTAGCCACTTACTTCACTTCTCTGTGCCTCAGTTTCTCACGTGTAAATAAGACGATAGCTACCTATCTCATAGGGTCCCTGTAAAAAGTAAGTGAATAAGTACATATAAAACACTTAAGGTGCACCTGGGTAGCTCAGTTAGTTAAGCGTCTGAGTCTGTCTCAGGTCATGATCTCACAGTCCGTGGGTTCAAGCCCTGCGTCGGGCTCTGTGCTGACAGCTCAGAGCCTGGAGCCTGCTTCTCATTCTGTGTCTCCCTCTCTCTTTGCCCCTCCCTGGCTCGCACTCTGTCTCTCTTGCTCTCTCTCTCAAAAATAAATAAACATTAAAAAAAAATTTTAACACTTAAGAAAAAATGTCTGGCATATAAAAAGCACTATATGTTTGCTCATTTCTTCTTTTCCAGTTACTACTATTATTAATATAATATGTCTATCTTCCCTTCTAGAATTACATCTGTTGTCTCTATATATCCACCGATGCCTGCTTAATTAAACTGAGGCCATAAAGAAAAGGAACAGAAGCAGGGACTTTTGAAGTCATACCTGCCTCATTCAGATGCCGGAGGGGCTGGGCACATGCCACCTCTCCAGAAATCTGGATTCTGTAAGGAACAAAATCTGGAGCCTACAGTTCTTTAAAACATGCTTGTATTTCAGACAAAATCCGCTACCATTTTTTTCCCATTACTATTTTTAATCATAACATTTATATATTTTTTCCCAATTATAAAATACTACTTTTTATAAAAAAACTGGGAAAAGAAAGACAAGCCTTCAGAAAGTGACAGAAACCACCTATTATCTCACTGACCAGAAATAACCACTGCTAACACTCTGTAGGTTTAAGTAATTTTTCTTAACTCCTAGCCTCTTCTTCCCCAAAAGTAGCCTACATAGTATATGGTTCTATATTCAATTTTCGCTGTTGTTGTTAACACAGGCTGAACATTCTCCCTTATCATTAAACATTCTTCTGCACCAGGAAAGCCAGTATCTGACGCTGTCAGTACTTCTCCCACGGCAAATCCCTCTCTGAGCCCAGCCAGACATGGCTTTAGAATCCTTCTCAACACAGCGCTCCAAAAAGACACCAGCAATCCATCCCCGTGCGGGTGTAGGGGATGAAGCCATCTGAAATCCTTATTCTAAGTAATACCTTTTAGAAAAAGCTACCTGGTACTCCCTTGTATGGATCTATCAAAATTTATTTTACCAACCCCCTTTGCCAGACATTCAGATCATTTCCAATCTTCTCCCTTACAACAAATGACACAAAGATGGCATGCATTCATAATTATTGTGTTAGGATAAACTCCCAGGAAGGTGCCCAGTCCGAGAGTATGCATAATGTAACAGAGTTTGCTACAGCCTGCTGGAAAGGTACCGACAGTATGTCAAGTGCCTGGTCCCCCCACCCTCCTCAAAATGACTATCGGATTTAAAATCTCCTCCAATTTGAGATGAGAAACATAACTTATTTTTTATTTTGCATTTCTGATACTAAAATAGTTAAAAATGTGTTAATGTTTACTAGTTGTATTTCTTCTTTGATCATTTTTATATCAGGTACTCATCTTATTGATCGATTTGTAAGCATTCTATATTAAAGAAATGAACCTCTGTTACATGTTGCAAAAAATAAATAAATAAATAAATAAACAAGTAAAAGATATCTGCCTTTAATTTGCACATTGTGCTTTTTAACATCAAAGTTTTTAGGGGCACCTGGGTGGCTTGGCCAGTGAAGCATCCGACTTCAGCTCAAGTCATGAACTCGTGGTTTGGGAGTTTGAGCCCCACGTCATGCTCTGTGTTGACAGCTCAGAGCCTGGAGCCTGCTTCCGATTCTGTGTCTCCCTCTTTCTGCCCCTCCCCAGCCTGTGCTCTCAATCTCTCTCAAAAATAAACATTAAAAAAAATTAAAAAGTTTTTAAAAGTCTAAATCATCAAATCGTTTTCTTTATGAACTCTATTTTACATGTATCCTGAGCAAGGTTTTTTTCCCATGCTAAGATCTAATATATTTTATGATATACTACTTTTATGTTTATACACATTTAAATGTTGAGGAGTATATGATTCTGAGATATACTTTAGCTTATGAACCTCGGGCAAAGATCTAACTTTATCTACTGCTAATGTCTGTCCAATTGTCCCAACACCATAATCTATCCTTTTTCCACAGATGTGAAGAAATGCCACTTTTATCATACACTAAATTTTAATGTGTATGCTAACCTTTTCATGGGCTATTCACTCCATCTCAGTGATTGGTTTACAAATCTCTGAGCCAGGACCACACTTCCACATTATTACAGTAAATTTTATCTCCATTACAGTAAAATATTCTGTTTTGCTTCTTTTCCAGTATTTTCTTATCTATTCTCACCTGCTTATTATTCCAATTTCAAAAGTATTTTTCTCAAGATTCTCCCCCAAACCACTTTTTTTAAGGTTCCTTCCACTACGCTTACAAACAGATTACCTTTTAGATCACTAGGTTCCCTATCACCTAACGTGTGGAAGCCAGATCAGAATCAGGACTCAGAAGCACTGGTGGAGAATTCAGGTATCAGGCAGTAGGTCTGGCTCATCTCTGAACCTAAAAGGCTCAGCAAATCTCAAAGGCTTATATGCCTTACAGGAGTACTTTTAAAAAATCTAATGTGTAAGGAGTAAGGTGACACAAGATTTTTACCAGAAGAGCTGGCAAGGGCACTAAAACATCACATTGAGTACAAGGAAATGATTAGGGGACCTGGGAGATAATCAATGAATGAATGTCAGCCCGGAGACAAGTGTCTGGTAGTAACCTGCAGGGCTCCGTTCCATCCTTAGGCTTGTTTTTGATGAAGAACTTGGTGGTAAAGGTACAGAAACAACAAACTTAACAAATGTCATGTAACACAAGGCTTAGAGAGACAATGAACACAGCAGACAACAGAACCAATTCAGAAAGTTCCTAACAGGCAGTAAAGACGGGCCAAATCTCACAGGAGGAAAATCACCTGGGATCCACACGGAGCACCACACCAAACCACAAAGTCAGGGCAGATGCACAGAGTGAGAAAGATACAGCTTAGTAAGAGCACACGTGGAGAAAGGACTTGATGGTTTTAGTTCACTGTAACCGCGACACAAATCAGACCGAGAGAGTCCTGCTGGGACAGAAACTCCTTCTCCTTCATCTCTGGATGCCCAGCACCGGGCACACTCCCTGCTCCACTACAGGAATCTGGCAGGTGCCCGGCCAAGGAAGGAGTGGAGGAAAGTGGCTGTCATAATGCTGCTGCGGTTTCGGCCTGCCTCAGAGAAGATACGGTAAGAGTTTCCATGCGCCTCAGATGACATCTCTTACAGGAACCATACTTTCTTTAGGAGGGCTATGGAAACTAATCCAGGGAGCAGCTGAGACTGTGAGGAGTCGAGACATCTTCTTATAAGAGAATGTGCTGAAATTCTTTTTCACTCCCAGTTGAAGTCTTAGAGGAGTCACAGTTGCCAAACGATGAAACAGGTTTCTTTGTAAAGTTAGATCCTTGTCACTGGGGGTAATTAATAAAGAGTGATATGAAAAAAAAATCAAGAAGAAGGGAGAATGGATTGTACCTTTCAGTCCCTTCCAACCTGGAAATTCTTCCAACTATGCAGTGGTTGTCTTTTTTAAGCTATAGTGCTAGACTTTTTTTTTAAGTGTATGTATTTTTGAGAGATAAAGAGAAACAGAGAGACAGAGAGGAGGGAATCCCAAGCAGCTCTGCCCTGTCAGCATGGAGCCCAAAACGGGGCTGGAACTCACAAGCCATGAGATCATGATCTGAGCCAAAGTCGGACGCTTAACTGAGCCACCAAGACACCTCCCCAGCTATTTAAACTCAAAATTTTTAAGTTTAGAAAGTCATAAAATTATCAAAACAAAACACACAAAACAAGCAAAAAGGCAACTGTGAGCAGGGAAACATCACAGAAATATCACTGGGGTCCAGTGTTACTTAAGTAATGACCTGGAGTGGGAAACGCCTGGACTTGGGAGTGAGACTGACCTGGGCCACACCCCCGGCCTCCTCTCTATAGGATGTGTAACCAAGAGCAGTGGGTCAACAAGTCCGTGTAGGGCACATACTAGGTGCCAGTCACTGCTGGGGACGGAGGATGTAACAAACAACAAGACAACCCCAGCAGCTCTCCTCGTGGAGCTGCTGGTCTGCCACAAATTTAACAACCCTTACAGTGCAATTCCTTGTAAGGATCTCCAGTGCTGACCAAGAAAACTGTCACTAGGATGCAGAGCACAGGACCCCAAGCTATCTGGTTGAGGGAGGCAGAGAATATTAGCTAGCCTATCTCTAAACTACAACTCCCTTAAACTTCCTAGCTGAATTATAGTGAGGATTAAAAGAGATAATAACTATAATATGAGTAACGACAGTTGGCACATAGCAGATGCTCAGTAAGTCTAGGCACCCTCAAGTCTGCTCTGCTGTAACAAAGAAAATGTTCTCTCTTTGCTGACCAGGAATAAGCCTACTCATTGGGGCACACACTACAGTATCTATAGAGGACTGACTGTCTAGGGATTAGGTATTCCTTTAGAACAGCTGACTCACAGCTGGAAAAAAGGATCAAGTTAGAGGTCAATGGAAAGCAACAGAGGAACATATAAAAACAGTAACCCAGGCTGAGACGGGGTCATCGATTCCATCTGGTGTGAAGAATATTCTGCTAGTCTGCCCGCGTACATTTGCTTCAGACCAGCAGGACATTCTCCTTCAATCACAAGAGTGAACATTAGCAAATGACCAGCAAAGTAAAAAAAAAAAAAAATACCAGAAAAGCACCAGAAACCAATGAGTCCTCCTGCAATCATAAAACCAGCTATTGATGCACAGGGAACATAATGTTTCTTCCACCCCAATGAGTCGGCAATTCTCAAAGTGTGGTCAGGGGGCTTTGGGGGGCGGTGTAAGAGGTGGGTAGAGATCCCTCCAGGAGTCTAGATGGATCAAAACTATTTTTACAGTAAACCCAAAACATTGTTTGCCTTTTTCTCTCTCATTTTCTCAAGAGTGTATGGTGGAGTTTTCCAGATGGCAGCACATACATGCCGCCATCACTGCCCTGATGGCTGATGAAATGTGCACTTGTATACTCTAAAATTTCCTAAGATCAGCACTTTGGGGTGCTCAATGATCTAAGAGTGCAAAGGGGTCCTGAGACTAACAACTTTGAGAACCATCAAACTAAGTAATTCTGCCCATACGAAGAGAAGGGTAGTGAGGACTTACTAGCGAAGCAGCATGCTCTGCTCAATGTGACGCCTGGGAGAGTGCTCACCCAGCATACAGCAGAGGCTGCAGAAGGAGAACTGTCAACTGAATCTGAAATGTGGCCAAATGAAGAGAGGCATTTTGGGGCACGCAATCAAAATGACAATTGCATACATGGGAAAATGAATGTGAACGTTTCTGATCTCAACCGGAAAGTTTCATTCAAATATGCGCTAGCAATTTTCATCTTAATTGCACCTTGCTGGTCTAGAGAATTATAAAAGACACGGCACCAGCAAGAATTCAAGAACTCAAGGTTAGAACACAATGTAGTTTCCTAACTGCGTTTGGACCTGAAAAAAAAAGTTCAAAAGTTGTGACTTAAAAACTAAAAATAGCATATACGTTTGTCTGAATAGAGAACACCATTGTTGTTGCTGTTGTTTTTAAAGAAAATAACATTTTTCTTAAAACCGTCGTATAGACCTTAACCCTGGAGCATCTGTGGCACCTAAGATGTGGTGAATGCGACCCATGGAAACCCACTGCTCTCCACTGACCAGAAGCATACATCCGGGCGGACAGGTTCAAAATAAGTACAGTGTGATTTAGGCAGGGAAAAAATTACATATGTAAATATGTGAACAGAAAACAATCTAAAAAGATCCTCACAGAGACCATTGCTGGGTAGCGGAATGGAAAGAGGGTCAGTGCAGTGAAGGAGAACTTCCACTTTTACTCTTCTTATGCACGGCTGCTGTGTTTTATAGTGACAATCTGCGTGCGTGTTGCCTGTATAATGGAACGCACGCGCAGAGTGCGGTATGACAGATGCTGCCGTGCGGTGGAGGTCAGCACACGACCTGACAGGACCCAGTGCTGGGAAGGCTGAGCTTGGATCTAGCCACCCCTCCTGTCAAAGAGGGCTGTGGCCTGGGTGCGGACTCACCTCTCCACTCTGTACCTCCTTGTTCATCTACAGGGCAGAGAGTGTTACCCTCACTAGGCTGTAGGGAGGACTAGGTGCCCTCTGCTACCTCTGTGCCTTTCTTTGTTCATGCTAATGAACACGCCCGGCAGGCCTTTCCACATTCCTTTCTGCCTATGAAAGTAAAACTCATTCTTCAAGGCCCAGCTCAAATACCACCTCTTCTGTGAAGCCCTCAACAGCCCCCAACTTGGTATTCCCTTTCTTTCTTTACGTCCCCACAGCACTCGGCTTGTATCTCTTTTAAAGTATATTTCCTTCTACCCTGCGTTTATAGTCAGTCTCCCTAGTAACCTATAAACTTGAGTACAAAGACTGTACTATTCAACTCTTAATTGCCTAGGGGCCTTGGGCCTATTAAGATTCATTAAAAGTCTATGTCCTGGGAGGCAGAAAGACAGGGAGGGAAGAGAGATTCAGAACATTAAAATCTGTATAAATATGAAAATCCCTTTAGTTAGAATTCATTTTTTCCCTACCTAAATCATACTGTACATATTCCACACCTTGATTTTCTTGGTCACATAACAGGAGATCTTTCCATGTTACTACTTGTTCAGATGACCTGAGAGGCATCGGATTCCTCCTTAAAGCACCTCACAGTACACAGTAAACAGTCACATGAGCGATCACATGATGAGCACTTACGGTGTGCCAGGCACTGAGCTAGACACTTGCCATTATTGTCACTGAGTCTGCACAACGACCCTGGGAAGGAGGTATTATTTCTTTCTACAGATGAGACACCTGAGGCTAAGAAAGGAGAAGAGACTTATTCAAGGTCATGTGGGAGTCACACCTGTATCTGTCTAACCCCAAAGCCTTTGACATTTTCTCAACAGTAAAGCGATCACTAATGACAGGCATAAGCAGTCTTCTTCGCACCCTGAGAAGAACAATGCAGAAAAGAGTTAACAGGACAGGACTGCTCTTTAGAAGAGTCTAGTCCTGGGCTGGTATCTGGGAACTTGGCTTTTGAAAGGTTCCCTAAGTGATAAGGGTGTTTTGTCCACCCAGAGCACTGAATGTCGGCTTCGCTTCTGGGAGCGTAGGGTTTGGAGTCATTGCTGACAAAGCCCTCCGTACCCTGTTCACAATAAATATCCTGGACTCTAAGTCTCAAACGGACTTCCCTGGACAGAAGCAGCGCACACAGGCTAATGCCTTTCACTGCTGGGAGAAAGAGACATGTCTGCACGTAACCCGCTTGGAGAGAAAACATGGGGAGCCTACACGTGCATTCTCCACACTGCCTGGTATGCCTTTCCTTGCTGCTGGTCCCGCTGCGTGCCCTCCAGTACCACGGACCTGGAGCCTTAAGAGTCTGTCCAGTGACCTCCCAAACATGTGCCCTGGGACACCTGGCACAAATCACAAAAAGCCAAGCAGGCAAAAGAAAGGAAAAGCAAACAACCCGTAGGAGGAAAAAGGGTGTCACCAAAACAGAGCCGTACTTCTCTGGGTTGTCTGGAAACTTGATCCGCAACTCTTGGTTTTTGTATGATCTTTTTTCAAATGTAAGGATCATTTTCTTCACTGAGCTTTCATCCAGTGGTTCCTCCTGGTGTAAAAGAAACAAAGGGCAACAATTTCGGTCCAAAGGGATTTCTGATTGACTAATCCCTGCTTCTTTTCCATGGCTCTCACATGCCATTCTGCCACTCACCTTTCCGGATCAAACATACAGTACACACTTCCTCTCCCTGCCTGGAAGGAAGGTTAAGGGTCTCGATCACACGCTACTTTGTATCACTCTGTGTGTCTCACATCTGGCTCAGGAAGCTCACTTGAAGGTTTTAAAGACTAACCTATTCAATGAATAATTTCTTGAGCATACCACATGGCATGGGATAAGCAACAATATTAGATAGTTTTATTTAATATTTACCTATCCTTCTCCTCTGCCATAAAGAGAACACTCGGCGGTTTAAAAGAACTTGTTCAAGGTCAAACCCTGAGTCAGTGGCAGTGGACCTCAATCTTTTCCGCACAGCAGGGATGGGCAAACTCCAGTCCACAGGCCAAATCGCCTGGTTTGGTACAGCCCACAGCCTAAGAATGGCTGTTGACAAGCAAAGGTCCCTGCTCTGCATCTCCTAGACATCACGGTTTCTGGACCCTCCTTGCTGGCTGCTGAAGAAATCAGAGAGGCACTTGCAGGCCTGATACAGCAGCAAGAATTTAATAACCTCACTCAGGGGAAGCATAAAAAACTAGTAGACCATACAGTTTTCTTATTTCAAACACTTGAATAATAACTACAAAGGTAAATAAAATGAATTTTTGAAAACGGAATCATTTTCCCCAAAAAAGTCTAGTACAGTTTCAGGAATGTTTGCTCCTCAGTTTCTCATTGAGGTTCCAGTCACATGCTACAGAGCACTCTCCTCTCTGACACCCTCCGAACTGCTGGCTTCGCAGCTCTGGGGTCAGTGACCGCAACTCACCCCTAAAAGCAATAAAGAAAATGCTATTAACAGAGCCAGAGGGGCATCTGGGTGGCTCAGTTGGTTGAGCGGCTGACTCTTGGTTTCGGTTCAGGTCATCTCTCGGTTCGTGAGTTTGAGCCCCACACAGGGTGCTGCACTGATAGTGCAGAGCCTGCTTGGGATTCTCTCTCTTTCTTCCTATCTCTGCCCCTCCCCTGTGTGTTTTCTCTCTCTCTCCCCCAAAAGTAAATACACATTCAAAAAAAAATTTTTTTTAAAGCTGGAAACGTATCCTTTTGGAAATCACTGAGTCATAATTGTGTAAGTACTTTAAGATGTTAGATATTATTTTATTAAATGTCTATTTTCATATATTGGGAGACACTGTAAACTTGTTTTGGGCAGGACACATTTCTTTGATGTTATCAAAGACTCTTGGACCTTGAGAGCCTCTCCTGGACTCCCACCCGATCCCAGGTTACCTGCAGCTTAAAGAGATATAATACAAACTGAAGTCCATGCCCCAGCTCAGTCAGGACTCAGAGTCTAGCTTCACTACTTATTAGCTACACGGTGACATTACTTTGCTGAATATAATCCTCAAACCCTCATCAAGTCCAACTGACTCTACTTCTCAAGTCTTTCTTGAATTCCTCCACTTGGCATTCAGAATAAAATCCTAAATCCTTCACATGACCCATGTAAGAAGGTCAGGCAGGATGGGGCCCAGCCAATCTCTCCAACCTAACACAGGGCAAATACCCCTTTCGAGGGCCCGTTGTCTACTTGTTCACTGACTCTCCTGTGCCCGGCACACAACAAGCATGAAGTGAAGATGTGAAGGCAGGCAGGCAGGCAGGGAGAGAGGGAGGGCAAAAACATTACCTGTATCCCTCAAGGTCACAGAGATGACCTAAAGAGATGAGGTAAGTAAACTGTTTTACGACTACATTCATATAAACCCTTATTGTTACTATTAGCAACACGCACGATGTACCCAATGTACTACTAGGATTTAACTAACTGATCTAAATTTCTAGAACGGTAAAATCACTGTTAAGCAACCTCAACCCCCATTTTCTTTCCAAGGGCTGACGTCTCGCCCACTCTGTAGGAAAAAAACGTATTAGCGTTAATACAGCTCTCGGAGGATTCCCAAAACCTTAGCCTCTCCAGGGTCTGGCCTTCCCACCTTTAATTTCTCTCCAACGCTGGGGAAAACTGAATTATCGGTCTTAGCCATCGACCACAGCAGTACCTACAATAGCTCAACGTCAGAAAGCAGAGGGAGATTTCAGAAAGATGAATGCTGGTGATGTAGCACAAAAAGGACAATAATATTTTACAAGCTCACGTGACTTCACAGGGGCAAACATCACTTGTTTCTCATCAAATGGGACTTTGGTGGCAGTGAGAAAATAACTCCTGGACTTGCAGTCTTCCATGTGTCATTTTTACAAAGCGATCTCTTTTCCCCTGTCCCTTAACAGAAGGCCTGGTCCCACATTACATTTCTGTCTCCCAGGCTAGAAACCACTTACCCATGACAGCTACTATCCTAATCCTCCAGTACCAGCCTTGCCCTACATGGGAATTATACCTGCCAATTAACTGCTGCTGCAGGGCTAACAGATTGAGCAGAAGCTAGTGAAGAGGGAGAGAGGGAAGGAGAGAGGGAAGGAGAGAGGGAGAGAGGGAGGGAGGGGAGGGGGAGGATGTGCTACACACACTGTTTGTCTAAGCCGAGCAGGGCTGCTGCCCTCAGAGAGGAAATTCGGGACTGTCTCCCACCACAGATTTCCAAGGTGCCACCGTCTTTTAGGGGCAGATCCCCAAATTAGCACTGGTACAAATCCTAGTGAGAAGAGAGTTATTGTCACAACACAGTAAAGACCTTTCTGGAATATGAATCCATTTTTTTCCTTTCTCAGATTCACACTCCAGCTTCATTTTTAAAATCCAAACTTAGCATCAGGTCTTTCAGGGAACCAAAAAACAGTTGGCTCTTAAGAATCTATTTCCATAATTCATATTGAACAAAATGCCAGAGTGAAATAACATACAAGTTAACACTTAAGGATATAAAAAGACACTTAGGTATAAAAAGACACTTAGGTAAGGTCATTTTATTTTTAATCACTGATATTTTACCTCGACTCCTTTTTAGCTTCATTCAGTTTTTCATTCAATAAATACAAATTGAAGGCCTACCAAGAGCTAGGCATTGCACCGAGTGCTGGAGATACAGCTGTGAACAAAACAGAGCCAGTCTCCGTTTTCACAGGAGGTGGGGACAAGGATAACAAATGAATACAATAAACAAACGAGGATTTCAGACCATAAGTGCCGTGTTTGTTTCCTGAACAAGGTGGCAAGACAATGAGAGAATGACTCACAGGAGTACCTCAGAGATAGGACAGGTTTCTCTGAGGAGGAAACATCTGAACTGAGACCCTGAATGAGAAGAAACCAGCCATGAAAAGCATTAGGGGCAGAACATTCTGCAAAGGACACAGAAGTAAAAAAGTCCTGGGGTAGGAATGAGTGGGCCTTTAAGGCACCCTTTGGAAAAGCAAACAGAAAGGCCTTTAGGCACCTCTTTTCCTAAACTGTAATTTTTCAGTCACACCTAAATACCTCATCTCTTAGCTCTGCCTTGAACTTATCTTTGTTGCTTTACAAATGCCATGTCAAGTGAAGAGTCCTTCTTCCACAAGTTTGATAAAATTCTACTCCTCTTTCAAAAAGGGGCTATTGACTATATTAAAAAATCTAAGTGCCTTCAATGTGTCCGGTCTAGGAAGCCACCCGAACCTCCTCACTCAAGACCAACAGCCCCACAATTGAGTGCTCGGGCCTCGATTAAACACAGAATCCAGAATAATTTAAAAACTCTATAATCTTCACATTTTGAAAAATGCTTTCCCAACTTCACTATCCCATTTAACCTTCATGTCAACACTGTGCAATAAGTAATCTTACCCCCATTTTACAGATTAAGCTGAAAATCTCAGAGAAATTAAGTATCTGGCCTAAAATTACACTCCACGGATACTGTGTCAGGGCCAGCCAAGCCTATCACCTTACCTCTTCCTCTTCCTCCTCACCCTCTCTGTCAATAATCTGAAGGAGTCTTTTTTTGTCATCATCGGCTTCTTCTGCCACACTCGTCTCCTCTTCTCGGCCGCGGCCGCGTTCTCGAGTGCCAGCTTGTCTCCGCCGCATTTTCAGTTCTTCTTCCTCATCATCCCGGGGACGTTTTGTGCCTCTGTTGGGCTGAAAAAGAGAAAAAGGAAACACAAGATTCCAGAGCTGGAAAAGACACAGTAGGGCATACATAGTAAATATTCTAAAAGCTTTCAAGAATTCATGGATTGAGGGGCGCCTCAGTGACTCAGTCGATTAAGCATCCGACTTCACCTCAGGTCATGATCTCATAGCTTGTGAGTTCGAGCCTCGCGCTGGGCTCTGTGCTGACACCTCAGAGCCTGGAACCCGCTTCAGATTCTGTCCACCTCTCTCTCTCTGCCCTTCCTCCACTTGCACTCTTTTTCTCTCTCTCAAATATAAATAAACATTAAAAATATAAAACATAAAAAGGAATTCACCATATGAAAAGCACCACACAATACAATTCCTCCCACAAAATGAAGTTAAGTTCTAAGTGGTCATTTTTCAGACCTTCAATGATTTCATAAGTAAATAACTGAAATCACCTACAAGGTAGTTGGCTTTTTTCTTTTTTTACAGAATTTTTTTAATATGCAAAATTTTACCACTTCCCAAAAGTTCTTGTGCATACAGAAATCCCAGGGAGAAGAGGCACTTTGAGATAGGTTAGGCTAGCTTACTACTTATGACACAATCCCCAACACCAATCCCTTCGCACATGGTTTTTATTCGCTAAGGAAGACTACAGTCACTCACAAGTAGTTCAAACAGAGAATATTACATATGTAATATCCAAGGGTCTACCGCACTCCGAAGTCCTACTTTACTGAGTAAGGCCCAGACGCAGTATTACCCAAAGTCACAAAACCAGCAGCAGCACTGAAATCAGAATCGCCACTTCTTGGCTGCTAGTCCAGGGCTCTGTCCACCACACAGTTAGGTCCTCATTTTGCCTTTGACACTGCAGTCCCCAGAGGAGTTCTTAACAGAAACCTTCTATTACATTGGAAGAAAATGGGGCACCACTGAAATGGGCTTCAGGGCTGAGGAGACACAGCATGGCACCAGGTATCAAAAAGCCCACCATCCCCCACCAGCTCAGCTCACTGCTGGTGCAACTTTGGGCATGTCGTGTAACCTTTCTGAACCTTAGTTTCCTCATCTGCAAAGGACAAATGGACATTATAACTCCTTTCCCTGTGAACTTCAAAGGATGCTTTTATATGTGTGTATTTTTACCATTTTTTCCCAGCTTCAACAAAATATAATTGTCATATAACATTGTGTCACAATGTGATTATCTGATTCGTGTGTGTGTGTGTGTGTGTGTGTGTATCGCAAAACAATTACCACATAAGTTAGTTAGCACCTCAATCACCTCATATAATTACTGTTTAAAAATTATTATTATTTTTTTTGGTGGTAAGAACATTTAAGATCTACTCTCTTAGCAACTTTCAAGTATACAATACGGTATTGTTAATTGTAGTCACTCTTGTTATACACTGGATTCCCAGAACTTATTCATAACTGGAGGTCTGTATCAAAAGGTTGCAAACTTTAGTGAAAGAATGCTAAACTATAACACTACTAAAGAAATAGAAGACATTCTTACTATAAGGTAATCCACATGATTCTGCCGCCCTCAACACAAGACATGTGTGTTAGGCTCAACGAGCTTTTCTTTATCATTATAACAAACACACCAATAGTGTGCTAGGTGCGACATGGTTTATTACTGCCACCAGAAGAAAATGCCACATTTGCTGCCAACTTGCTAAGCTGTCTGGTGATAGGAGACAAATTTCTACTAGCCACATGACACATCTCACCTCGTGACGTATAACCCACACTGCTACTGAACTCCACCACCGCAGTGGTGCAAAGTCATTCCCCTCTGTATTCACACTCCCTGCTGGTTCCACATACCAGGTGTGCCAGTAAGTCTAAGCATATGACACCGCTTAGAAAACTCACATTAGACATTTTGGTTCGTGGGTTACCACCTGCTATTTTTCACTGTTTCTAGCCTCCATGAGATAGATTATCATTTCATACGATAACATTCTATTTCCATAAAGACAAAAATTACAAAACTCCATTGTCATTACCGGTCTACACTTAGAAAAAAAGGAGAGAAACAAGAAAGAAATAAACATGCCGGTTACCAGGGAGCACAAGAAAAAGGAGGTGGTGGTGGTTTTCACGTGAGAAAGGAAGGAAAGGTAGCTTGATCCTAAAGGAGGGAAGGCTTCAAACCAGAAATCTGTGGCTCCCCAGCAGGTAAGGAACCTCAGCCCCCTGGGAACACTAATTCTTTCAGGCTCATAAAGCGAGCCCTGCTGCGATTCTGATTAGCGTGAGCCTGCTGCAGCAGTCAAATCAAAGCATGAGCTCCATAGTTCTCCACGGAAAGGAGGTTTCTGGATTGTTTATCTCTGAGGGCAGAGAGAAAAGGCAGTGGACCACAATTAAAAGGAGAAAGCTAAATCCCCCCGCGTGCCACCTCCCTGGTTAAGAAACGTAAAACTGAGAGAACACAGGCAATGTCTCTTTGGAATACAGCTTCCAACCTACTTTTTTAAGACAAACATTTCAGAGGTAGGGGAGGAGTTTCACTTTTACCTCTAATAATTTCCACTGAAATAGCACTCTCCTTCTGCAGAACTTAAAGCACCTATTTTAATCTCCACCACATCTCTGGGGAAGAGAAGTAGGTTAACAGTTCTATTTTACGAGTGGGAAGATGGGATGCCTGAGATCCTTCAATAAACCCTTGCAAAGACAACCCAGCCCCTTCTCAAAGTTGAACCCGATCTCTGGGAAGTTTGCTGATCTACCAGGATCCCAAGACCCTAACTGAGACAGGTCTGAGGGACTTTCAGTCAAGAACATATACCCACAGATAAAGTCATGTGAGACCTTGGCCACATTAGAATAATATTTGCTAAGCCATTCATTCAACAAATAACGTATTAAGGAACTGCGAGTCTTGAAGGGCCCTCAAGTAATGAGCTGGCCCACTGGCATTCCCAGGCTTCCATTTGGGTCACGTCTAAATAGGGACACAGGGACAGACAGGACCAGCACGGATTCTTGAGACAAGAACAGCTTTGTTCATCTTTAGGAATAGTTTAGGGGTGCCTGTGTGGCTCAGTCGGTTGAACGTCTGACTTCGGCTCAGGTCATGGTCTCGCAGTTCAAGAGTTCGAGCCCCGCATCGGGCTCTGTGCTGATGGCTCAGAGCCTGGAGCCTGCTTCAGATTCTGTCTCCCAGGGCGCCTGGGTGGCTCAGTCGGTTAAGCGTCCAACTTCGGCTCAGGTCAGATCTCACAGTTCGTGGTTTTGAGTCCCGCGTTGGGCTCTGTGCTGAAAGCTCAGAGCCTGGCGCCTGCTTCAGATTCTGTGTCTCCCTCTCTCTCTGCCCCTCCCCCACTCACATTCTGTCATTCTCTCTAAAATAAATAAATATTTTTTAAAAAAAAAAGGAATAGTTTAAGCAGAACATCCCTAAGAGGGCAACCTTCTGGTTCACTGTTGCCACGATTCCCTCCCCTGTCACACAGGGCATTAAGCCTGAGTTCCTCTTGCAGCAGCTCTCCCGCAGAGCAGAGCAGAGCAGAACCCATGAGGATGCTCAGACCTGGCTCCTTCACCAACATCATCAGCTCCCACCTCCAAGACAGGTAAGCCATCCGGGGGCAGCTGAGGGGCTCAGTCAGGTGGGCGTCCGCCTCTAGGTTTCAGCTCAGGTCATGATCTTATAGTTCGTGAGCTGGAGCCCCGCACTGGGCTCTGCATTGGCAGTACAGAACCTGCTTGGGATTCTCTCTCCCCTTCTCTCTTTGCTCACTCTCCCGGTCTCTCTCAAAATAAACTTAAAAAAAAAAAAAAGAGAGAGAAAGAAAGAAAGTCTGTTCTTCTCAACTGTCTCTTTTTCACATATGAACACTCCAAATACTGAAATTTCCACTCATCTCTGAAATTTGACCACTCAGAATAATAAAGGTTTTGGGGCGCCTGGGTGGCTCAGTCGGTTAAGTGTCCGACTTTGGCTCAGGTCATGATCTCATGGTTTGTGAGTTCGAGCCCCGTGTTGGGCTCTGTGCTGACAGCCAGCTCAGAGCCTGGAGCCTATTTCGGATTCTGTGTCTCCCTGCCTCTCTGACCCTCCCCTGCTCACGCTGTCTCTCTCTCAGAAATAAATAAAACATTAAAAAAAATTTTTTAATAAAAAAAGAATAACAAAGGTTTAGATTCATTTCTGTAACAAATTTTTATTAAATGGCAACTATGTATAAGGCCTGTGCTGGCGACTGGGAACATAAGTGTGAATAAGATAAACACTGCTTTGTTGTCAAGGGGCTTAACAGTCTAGGACATAGCTGCCCAATCAAAATGTAATGCAAGCTACAGATGTACTTTTAAGTTTGTTAGGGGACGCATTTAAAAAGTAAAAAGCAGATGGCTTTAAATGTAATACATTTTTTAATTGAATATATTCAAAATATTATCATTTCAACATGTAATCAATATTTTAAAAATTACTAATGAGATATTTTACATCTCTTTCCGTACACAGTCTCTGGACTTTGCAGACTACTTTACACTTACCGTGGACCTCAGCACAGACCCAGCCCCATTTCATGCACCTACAAGCCGGATACTGCTAGAGGCTACCAGACTGGCTAGCACAGATCTAGAGGATTTTCATCTGGGGGATTCCTGTTCCCTGATAAAGCCAAAACGGAACTGTCTTTCCAGCAACACTGCATAAAATATGGACTCACAAAATGCTGAAGTCTTATTTGTGAAAGGTCCTCCCCCTCAAAAAAATTATGAAGCTAACAACACCCTGACCTAGAAATAAACATCTACATCATATTTACCAATATTCACTACCGAGAGAGTGATCAGTCACACAAGACAAAACAAGAATATTTAAGTGGGAAGAATCTCAGGGCTGTCAAACTGATTCCGCTACAGAAGAGCCAAAGGGCCCTGGATTTGGGAAGGGAATGGAAACCTCACAGCCTGTCAGAGAGGTCAACAGCTCAGGCCCGAGCTCTCCCTGCATCTTACAAAACCAGTCCCAAAAGGATTAA